CCAGCGTTCAGCGACTTTACTGCTCGGCCGCTGGTGGGCTGATATTAGGTTTCTACTAGTTGCAGAGGAAAGCGAGAGCAAAAGTAGAGCCGGTACCAGAACTATTGTAACAGGTTAAGTCATTCTAATTCGGGACTAATGTAATTCGCTTGTATTTTCAGTATCCCTCTCTATATCCTCTCTTTTTGTGACATTTCAAACGAAATTCGCATTCAACAAGCACTGGAAAGACCAGCTCAGTCGAATCGCAATCGAAACGTTCCTCCGTGTTTTCCAATTTCGCATTTTCAGTTTTTGGCATACAACTTCAGTTATTGCCTCAACTTCTTCACAGATAAATTTCTGATTTCTATATTAGGAAGAACCTTTCTCCACGCTCAGACTTGCACGTGTTTGTCTTTTAGACAACCTCACGCAGGGAATGGGACTAGTATCCGCCGTAGCCATTTCGCCGTCGGAACATTTTGCCGTCAAGACATATTTTCTTTACATGTCTGCATTATATCTTGTCGTATTATATTAAATTAACTAAAACTAATAACTCTGTTTAGTTTAATAATTGAATTTAATTTGATAAACACTTTATATAAAATAATATATAAAATGTGACACATGACATATTAATACACCGTTACACATGACATACACCATTACACAAATATACCGTTATACATGACATTAATTTTAAGAGAGTAACCTGCTGACAAGATTCCAAAGTAATTCCATTTTCCATTCAGATTTTATAAAAATGTGAATTTCCTGCTTGCCTTCTCTGAACTAGCCGATTCAAATTTCAAGAAATTTTGACGAATCATGTAAATATTGTATCCGCATAATTTTAAAATTTACAGTATAACTTCTGTTATATCAGAAGTTTAGCCCCGATTCTCTTTGATACTGACATAATTTTCCAACTAACTATGTGTAATTTCTTTATATCTCATACTTGTAAATAACTATATATATTACAAACAACCTTTATTAAGTATACAAAAGGTAAACAGAATTATTAAACTAAATAAATTTAACACGAGAATATTACGGCAAGTTAAAATACAGGCATGTAAAGAAAAATATGTCTAGACGGGGAAACGGCCACGGTGAAATGGCGACGGCGAAAAGTCCTAGACCCCTCACGTACAGCTTTGAGTTTGAGTGAGCAATCTCCGCCGTGCACGGATAAACCGCAAACAGGAGAAAATTCACCCGGATAATCAAGAATATATTGTGTTTTACTTTAAAGGTATTCTTTTCTTTGTGCTTCTTTTTCTTTTCTTTTTCTTTAATTAAAAATTAAGACGCTATTTGAAGTATTTGCGAATGCTCATATCTTCGAAACTACAAATGTTACAATCAATCTAAATGCATGGTTAGATAGAAGAAAGAACACATTAGAAAACACAGGAAGACTTTTAAGAATTGGACAAATCGTATGCGCATAGTAACACGCCAAAAAAAGCGAAATTTTGATGACGTCTGTGTGTATGCGCTACCACATATGAGTGACAAGGTTGTTTGGTAGAAAATGCGTAGAGAGTCAGTGTGCTCGGATGGTGTTTGCTGTACTTGTTTTATGTCGCCAGGTGGCAAGGTCATCTAGTAAACAGTCAGTGTGTTCGGGTAGTGTTTGCAGTATTTTACTTTAACACCAAACATAATTAATAATTACTAAACATAATTAATAATGAGTTCGAAAAACGAAACATTAAGGCGATCGAGGCAAAGAGAAGCACAGCGAAATAAATGATACGATAATGCGCACCAAACATAAGAAGAGCAAAAAGGAATGTTTGCAGAAAGAAGGTAATAGACGATATTTATTTCTCATATCATCGACCAGTTTAAAATAAGGTTATTTTGAATGTAATAAATCAAATGAAATAAAATATACGTGCGGATAAAAGCTTTCGTTTGATTTATTTTTTCTATAAAACCCTCACATTTTTGTTAATAATCTTACGCATTAGACGCCAACGGCTCTTTAAACTAAAAGAGGCAGCCTCTTTAATTTAAAAAAAAATCCAATCATGCTTAAAATGGGCCATTTAATTTGCAAAAACCCAATTATTAAAAGAGAAATTATGCATAATTTGTTGCTGTTTCTGTCTGAAATCATATACCGTTCGGAATTTTAAATTTTCAATATTTTTACAAATTATTCTATGCAATTAGTTTTATACTATGCTCTCTCTTAAATTAAGTAGTTAAGTTTCAAAGAAAGCCATTTCAAGAAGAAATAATTTTGTAAAATTTAAAGGACTGGACAGACTGAAGGACGGTATATAGATCCTCACTTCATATGATTTCAGAATGACTAGAACTAAAGTCTCACAATAAACAACATCATAGAGTAGCACCTTGATGTTTTCTTGTGATAAAAGACACAAATACCGTATTTACTTGCATATTTCCCCCCTAGTTTATATGGTTATCCTATTTGTCTGGTACTAGAACTTTAGTCCTGTAGCTTTAATTACTAAACAGGTAGTGAGTTGTTGCATTGCCTGGAATAGTACCACAAAAACTGGAAAGTTCTTAAACAACTTTTTTTTTAAAATTGAACTGAACTTAATAATAACAAAACAGGGCACATCTTGTGCTGCAGATAACCAGTGCTCGTGGCACTGCAAATTAAATAACTATAGTCAAATCAATTTAAACGTTGATCAGAAGTCTAAGAATGCACACTTCAGTATTCTGATGCATTACAAAAGGAATTTCTCAGCTGAGTCATTAGCACTGAATAGTAACACAATTAGATAAATATACAAAACATTATCACTCCCATTATATTATACGGTGTTGTGGCTTGGGGTTCCAGGGCCCTGAACCTGCAGCGAATCAAAAATAAATTAGATACCATACAACGACCCTGGCTGCTGCTTCTGGCCAGATGCTTTGAAACAGTCTCGAAGGAAGTCGTTTGCATATTGGCCGTTATGCCGCCCCTTTCGATAGTTTACTCTTTTTATTACAATAGATTTACATTACATTCATAAAATGTTGATTTCGTTACTTACGGAGATTTTATTTCATAATAATGTTTTTCTGTCTTTAATATTAATAATACCAATTCTGCATTAAGAAAGGCAGTGGAATATCGGAGACCAAATGTTTACGTTGGAGAACTGGATATATTTGCTGACGGTTCGGGTTATGACAATGGAATTGGTGCAGTATATGTGGTTTACTAGTTTGGAACAGAAACTGACTATGGCAGAATTAGACTTTAACTTTGCAATTCGGTTTTTCAAGCCGAAATGGCTGTTATCATATCTGCTTTTAAATGGATTGATGAACACCTGACTGTAAAAACAGACTCATTATCTGGTTTGAAAGCATTAGTAGATCCTGATAGCACTAATATTTGGGTCTCATATGTAAAAGATGTACTTGTAAAAGTTGAGAAAATACATGAAGTGAAAATAACTGGATGAAAGCCCATATTGGTGGTTATAGGCAATGAGAGGGTCGGGTCGACACGCTGCCAAAGAGGCTGCTATGGGTAATGTCGGGGATGAGTTCGATATTCATGCATAAAAAAGAATTGTTATTGTCAAAATAAAGGATTTTTACTGCGATTACTGGAAAAAGAAATGGAACAGTTCGGGAAAAAAAGAAAGATTATTTTTTTAACTTTGAAGTTTCTAAAAATATGAGAATGATATGTGACTTTGATTACAATCAAATAATTACTGGATACGGGCGCTTCCCGGCGTACCTGAAAAGATTTTAATTTGCAAAATAATTGTCTTTGTAGTTTTTGTAGTGCAGAAGGCAATGCACGACATTTCGCCGAAGATTGCGTATGTTAGGGAAAAACATGGCAACATCAAGAAATTCTATAGCTGCAGGAAAGAGTTTAGATCTGCAAATAATATTATGAGCTTTATAAATGGCAACAGAACAATACTAAGAATTTTGGTTTGATGTTTTTTAACTGTATTTTTGTTTTAATCTGTGTTGGGTGTGCTGCGTTAACCATGAGGCCAATTTTTGTGGGCCAGGAAGCGTTGCAGCACCCTTGTTTATTACATTATATTACACAGTTCAGTTAAATAAGCTGCCTCAGTTGATCAATGGTGTGTGAGTTAATATCGGGTGCTAGTTCATACAAAGCCGAGTTAGCTATATTTAACTAGAGCTGGTAGAAATCTAACCATGCAGCGTGGATTTCGGTTGCAGAGGCTCTGATTGATGAACCAATAATAGTGAAGAGCTTTAAGAAAACGGAGATATCATATACTTCTGAAGGTTCTGAAAATCACTGAATGTGGGAAAAACAGAATGAATGGTCAGAAACACGATGATGACAGTGACTATGGCTTTAAATTTAACGATAAAAAAAAGAACCGTTCCAGCAGCATTAAATGACCCTAGAGAGTAGCAATGAATAACAATGAGAGCAGGTGAGATTCAGGACACAAGGAAGTCGAAGATATTTTATTAGATATTGTAACGTTAAATAATAATTAAGACACAATAACACGCCGAACAAATACTAATTCAGAAGTCAAACAACAAAAATCAGCGTTATATTTTCAAAATTTTTACAGGACTAGTTTCGATGGTTTTACCGAACCACCATCCTCAGCTGCAAAACCGCAAATGAACGAGATAAGATATAATGATTAGATAAGATAAGAAAGCCTGGACAAGAATAAGCAAGTGGTGCCATCTGTTGATGGAACCAGAACTAAAACATAATTTCTTTAAAGGCCGAAGGCAAAGATGGATTGGAATTAGGATCGTTAACTAGAACAAAAGATTATTTTGAATGTGAAATGCCTCTAAAAAATCCAGTTCTCCGATGGAAGATGTTTTTTGAATAATTTTGGCAGCAGAAAAATTGAAAGTGTGATTTTCGGATCAACAATGTTGAGCAACAGAAGACTTCTGTGTTTCCTTTTTTCTAACATATGCTGTATCTCGTTCATTTGCGATTTTACAGCTAAGGATGGTGGTTCGGTAAAACCATCGAAACTAGTCCTGTGAAAATTTTGAAAATATAACGCTGATTTTTGTTGTTTGACTTCTGAATTAGTTAACTAATACTTCTGTCTATTCTTACTGGAATGCAAGTTTGTTTTAAAAAATAATGTTAGGATAACTACAAGTATAGTTCGACCATCTCAAACGCAACCCTGGCTGAAATTATGCCAAAACACATAGAATCGTCGAAAAGGGACATTGTTACTTGTTGCGACAGGAAAGGTAACGTGAAAGTCTTCTCTTCTCCGGAAAGAGAGAATTTACATAATGAAGGGAAAGAAAGTGCCCCATCCTTCCACCTCATTTTGAGAATAATTCGGTCCGAGTGGCACATTCGTGTTTACCCTCATGGTCGCTGATGAGGCGGTCGAACTATAATTTATGAGTATCTATGAATACTTTTCATTTGTTACGTTCTTATTGTAACTGCGTCCTTCCGAAATTAAATCACTCGTATAATTTTCCCTTGCCGAGTTTTGTAAAACAAAGTTAGAAAAAAGAGAGAAAAGCATGCGAGTAAATACGGTAATCATCAGTTACCCATTTCCAATATCAAATAACAGTTAATACTCTAATAACTCAGTGGTCTTCAAACTTTGTCGACTCGCGGAATCCTGAGAACTATAAAGTTTTGTCGGGGAACCCTATCCCAGCTCCAGGAAAAAACAAGTATCTTAAAATAATATTTAAAGTAGATGAATATGCTATAGGTACTTTACGTAAAGACAATGAAATTAGCGTAATTTTTATCAAAAAATGATCACATAAAATTAATGAAATTTACTCATTAATAACATTGACTTGTGCTAGAGTTGTGAGCTACCCATGTATTACATTTAGTGACTGGCGCGTGCTTGCACCTTTTTCTATAAACTGTCGAAGTCTAGCTCTATTGCAGTAGCAATCTATAATCGTCATTTAATTTGTTTCTATGTTTAGCTTTTGTGGTTTATACTATTTACTTTTGCAAAGAACTGCCTGTCATCCTGTTTGACATATGCTGCTTGGCACATTATGTGCTTGCTTGACATATAATGTTTGCTGGTCATCTTTTTGGCACAAGCTAAGTTTTAAAAATAATCTGTAACTAAATGTACCTTTATATGTTTTATTTAACAAGCACAAGCCAACTAGTTTGAGTGCTTTGCAATTTTCTTTTCGATTTTTATTTCCTCACAAGAAATCTTAGGATTTGATTCGCGGAACCTCAGGGTTCCGGGAAAGATAGTTTGAAGACCACTGCTCTAACTTCACGATTTTAAAAGACATCCAAAAGTCGTAAATGACAAAATTTCAGAAACTATTAACACCAAAGTTAACTAAATGTCCTACAGAACTGATTTCTCTCAAGAACAAATGTCTAGCATGAACATAGTAATACATTACATTTTTTCATATCACTAATATTAGTACAGTTAATATAAAAGAACTTATTCAGACAATGGTAGTTAATGTTTGGTATCAACAGTTGAAGCTCTTCCTTCTGGTAAAAAGTTGTAGAATGCTTTGAAGAATGTAATTTCACAAAAAGCAATCTGTGGGGGTATAGAACTCTCTTAAGCTGATAGTGGGTGCAGAGCGGTAGCCAAACGCTCTTTTCACTTCATTTTCCGCGTTCTTCTTACAGTCGTGGAACAGACTCAGGCAACTGTCGTTGTGGTTCATGGTTTCGATGTCGCTTCCTCCACTCAAGAGATCTGGCAAGGGACTTCTTATTTCATAGTTTGTCGGTGGGTAAGAGGGGCAGAGTTTTAGTTGGGGATGAAGTTTGGAATCAGTAGCTTCTTTTCCCAGCAACCAGAATGTTCGCATTTCTCCTTTACCCTGCAAATATATATTAGTAAAAATCTATACATATATATCAGATACTTTATACACAGAAACAGGTCTTCATTTCTAAAATAAGAAGTTCTGGAGCCTTATGGCCATCAGAATAAAACAGAAAAATCATAAATAAATAAATGAATATTGTTGCTGTTTTCGAGTACATATTTCATGGAAGAATGGTTGCCAGAGCCACAAAGAAGTCAGACTTCTTCTTTCCATCCCCAAGTTTAGAAGGAGTTTTAGTTCATGCAAATGTACGAAAGACATTACACCTTAAAATGGGCAATATTCATAAAGTAATATTATTCAATTTTAAATATTTATTTCTATTTCTCTGTTCCAAATGTATATTAGTCAAACTTCAAAAATAAATTTTACTTTTTCAAACTGATTATAAAATATTGCGAATTTATTGCGTACTATGTTAGCCCCCAACGTCGTTTTTGCTTCGCAGATTGCATTAGCAGATAAAGGATATATAATGAACATGAAATATTGAATTAAGAATCACAACACCTTTAATATGAACGCTTTTAAATTAAGAATATATTAATTAAAAATCTGTGCACATGTTTACGGAGTAAGCACAGGAAGAAATGATACTTTTTCTTTCTATGAAAAAAAAAAAAAAAAAAAAATCACTACCTGTTTTTATATTAACTTGACCGCACTACAGTGTTGTAAGAAGTGTAATCTCAAAAATACAACGCACGTAATAATATTTCTGGTACTGCTATAAAAATGTAAAGAAACGGTGTGGAGGTGTGCCTTGGAGCCCAAGCAAAGTTAAGGCGTTTCTAATCGTAGAGGAAATGATGTCATCGGAAGCCAGATCCAATGATGAGGAGGGATTTTACCCTATGTGCTTGGCGCAGTACAGAATGCTTATATGCTGTTTGTCCCACTTTTCAAATAACTAGCCTCTGGCACGGTCAGCCCCCATGGGCAAACTGCTAATTAATAAAAGAGGCAAAGAATTGCAAATCACTTAGTTTGTTAATTAATAACCGATTTATTTAAAAGAAAAATTGAATTTAAAGCAAATTAAATTTAAAACGAAACGCAAGTATCTTACGCTTCGACAAATGGCAACTGCCAGATAGAATCCCTGCCGCGTGAATACTATATGAGTAATGAATTAAAAATATGCAGAGGGTGTTTACACACTTTTAGAACTATTTCGGAGACGTTTAATTAATGCCTAAAATTTAAAAAGCATTTTTTGAAATATTCAGTATAATAGTCCTTCTTCAGGACTAGAAGTCTGCATCGTGATTCCCATGACAGAAATGCCTTTTATAAAATTTCCGACGGTTTTGATTTCTATTCCTTTTTTACTGCTTTCAGAGACCATTGATCGTGGTGAGTTTGTGTTCAGAAATAGCTCTTTTCGAGAGACCAAAGGAACAGCAATCCGCAGGGTGAAAAGTCATGGGACTTTCCCCGGAGTACGCTGAAAAGGTATATATGCAGTACCTGTATCAATCTTCCTTTTTTCAGGAATACAGTGTTACTTTTCGAAGCATGACTTATTTCTCTGGTTTGATGAAGTTTGACTCTTTAAAACTCATTGGAATAAGGAAATGGAAATTTTTTCTTGACTATCTGATGCAAAACTTTCTCTCGACAATACGTTGAGTCGATTTTAGCATTTTCCCCGCCTTTCTTGTTTTTAATTTTCCACTGTAAGAAAATCGCCCGACGATCATAAATAATTGACTGAAACTTTGTTTGCATTAATGGAACCAGATTTCCACATTTTCCCCCGTTTTTTGATAACAAATAGACATTTGTTTTTGCTGCAGTCATTTAAGTAAACCTGTTAAATAGTTTTAATACATTTGCAATGAAATTGTTCTCCTTTGAGCCTCCCGTCTTGGCAAAAGAGATGAACTTTACATTCTTTAGCTTTTTTGATGTTGTAAATCTTGGTTTATTATTCCATTTATTGCTACTAAACATATATTTAAAGAGTCTACAATTGGTTTTTTAGTTGGCGGAGTTTCTCATGTGACCAACGATTTAGATTTCGAAACTTTAGAAACACTACATACCATTTTCGAGGATTAGTCTGGTGTCTTTTTTTCAATGTAGAATTAATGATGGACGGTTTTTTCCTTGCCGATTAATAACTGCTTATTATCCTCTTAGAATAACTGCTTGTTTTGGTTTATGTTTTTGAAATATGGAATAGCAATATTTTCTCTTCGGACACCTCAAAAACCTATCCTGAAATCCACAGTTGCTTATATGCGACATTTTGAAAGAAGAATAAGTTTAAATGTAGCTGACAACATTTCTCATTTCAAACAATGAGCTGTTGCCAGAAAGTTTTGTACCGAAACATTTTTTTAAAATTCTTCATCGAAATCGTAATAAAAATGCGTTAACACCCTCTGTATATGACAGCTTTCTTCTAATTTCTGAAATTTAAGCTGAAAGGCAAATATATTTTCCATTTAAGCTCCATTTACTCGTACTCATTACTACTTCCCATAAAATAACTATTTACTGCTACTTCTCAACACAGTAAAATTATTAAAATAAATGTTGTAGGAAGTACCTTGATTTGTACCAGACCTCTTTCTTGCAAAACGTAACCTCCCAATTTGTCCAGAATTTCCTTACAAGCTTCACTTACGTGGATTTTCATGGCTGACAAAGAAATCGTAAACGTTAGGAAAAAGGTGTTACAAGTTCACGCATATATTAACAAAAAAGGCAAAGGTAAAGCTTATACCTTGCTATTTAAAAAACAGAGTTTCAAAGATTGAAATAATAGGAAGACCGGAAAGTAATGTCGCTTTCTTACATTAAATTCAAACGAATACATTTTTAACAAGTTTTTATTTTTAATCAATAATATAATCACACTCGTTATCAACAACCTTTTGCCATCTAACGTGCAGATTTTCAATCCCGGACCGATAAAAATCAATTGGTTTTGAGTAAAATATCTCGGGAGGACATTTTGGACATCATCCAAATTTTCAAATTTTTTGCCACTAAGAAAATGTTGTAGGGATCCGAATAAATGGAAATCCAATGCTGCGATATCGGCCGAGTATGGTGGGTGAGTATCGCAATACCTCCCACCCCAATTCATTAATTTTTTCCAGTGTTCGTCTTGCACAGTGCGGTCTTTCATTGTCGTGTTGCAGAATGACGCCTTTTCTGTTGGCAACTGATATTTTTCGATTAAAGATTGGTTCACTCGATCCAATTGTTCACAATAAAGATCCAGGTTTCAGCAATTCAAAAGGAACAATTCCGCGAATACTCCATGAAACACTCAAAAGCGCCTTTTCGGGATGTAAACCTTTTGTAACCCCTATTAAAACTGCCTTTTGAGTTTCGGATTATCATAAAGGACTTATTTTTTTTGTCTCCACTAATCAAACGATCAAAAAACGGTTCTGTATGGTGCCGTTGAAGCAATACGTTGCATGTGATGGATCGGTTGGCTTTGTTCTTTTCGGACAGATTATGGGGGACTCAAACACCTGCTTTGCTTATTTTTTCATTCTGCTTTAAATGTTCTTGGATGGTCGAACAAAGTTGGTTAAGAGTGTTTGACATGGATTTGCTTCCACTTCTGCCCTTAGCATGTTGTTGTCGACGTGCGCAGAAACGATATTCCTTTCCGGTCTCCCTATTACTTATTCATGAAAGATGATTCCTAAATTCATGAAATGCGTTATGACATAGTCACGCTGCAAACAAATTAAAAAAGAGAGTTGCTGTTCTTGTAGACCGTTAACAAAAATAATTTCAGCAATTAAAAATAAATAAGTAAAGAGAAAAGAAAATATAAAAGGATTCAGATTTTCATGTCACACCAGAAGGTTTGTTAATATTTTTTATGCTCTTGATGAGTCTGTAGTTTACCATAATGCTATTAGACTCACTCCAGATAATGAAACGTTGTCTTTTTAACTTCATTATTAATAAACATCCCTTTTCTTATACTACATACAATTTAATAGAAAAATCACAAAATATTTAAAAACAGCATATCTTTAAACTTCTCGATAATATGTTATACATTTTTTAAATATTCGATATGTTATTTCTGTAAAAATAATACATAACGATAAAATTTGATGACAACAAACTTTTATATCTGCAACCACACATTTTTCATATTTGTTATATTATTTCTTTAAAAATAATACATGGAGATAACATTTAGTAATTTTAAAAGTGATACGGACAAAAAATGAGGTCCAAGACTAATAGAATAGAAAGAATTAATTGTATTAAACACATTCGAAATTTGAAGTCCATTTGTGTGTGTAATAGCAACATTGATTGCGACTGATTGATGCCAGATCCTCAAAATGTGAGAAAAACAGTTTAAGACAATTGGATAAAACGTACTGGCAATACATCGATAGTCCCCAAACACTTGGATAGACCAATATAATCACCTGCCATATCTACCACCCACTAATGGACCTTTTCATTCTCTATGACAATATTATAATGTGAGCGCTGTCAAGGATATCTTGTTACGGTGCGATAGGAGGTAATGGTATACAATGCCGTTGCTTTCTTATGAGTGCTAGATGCGAATGATGTTTCAGAGGACCAATTCCGCCATCCTCCAGGACAATGCGTAGTGTTATACTTCGAGAGCTGTTATTACGGATCTCCTGTGACAGTGACGAGGTAGTGGTACACTACACCAACAAATGCTGTTGCTTTCTCCTGAGTGCTGGACGCAATTCATGTTTCAGATGACGAGTTACATTGTTCTCCAAGACAATGCGTAGTGCCCTATTTCGAGAGCTGTCACAGATCTCTTGCGACGGTGTCGATAAGAGGAACTGGTTTACCACACCAACAAATGTTGCTCCTTTTTCTTGAGTGTTGGATGCAGATGAGGTTTCAGGTGATGAATCCTATTGTCCTTCAAGACAATCTGTAGTTCCTATTCAGAAAGCTGTTATGGATCTCCGACGGTGGGGATGAGTGGTAATGGTACACCACACAACAAATGTTGTTGCTTTCTCCTATGTGTTGGACACAGATGATGCTTCGGATGACAAATACCATCTTCCTCCAACACAATGCTTCGACAACTTTCACAAATGTTTTGAGACACCCATAAATGTCACCGCTTTTTCCTGGAGAGATGAACGCAGATGACGAATCCCATTATCTTCCAAGACAACGCGAATGTCATACTTCGAGTGCTGTCACGGATCTCCTGCAACAGTGGCGATGGAGATACGGAGACATCTGGCATATTTGCTTGATGTGGATACGTGTGCAGGCATATCAAGCAGATCTCTTCGTCAAAATGAAAGAACCATTGCAAAGAATCGATTAAAATGGTAGAGAAAGGAGCTTACACCTGCTATAGCGTGTCGCTAGGTGTAATCAACGGAGTTAACGGTATACGTTGTCTTTCATTGTCTTCCAGTGCAACCTCATCGGTGGCCAAGTGGTTAAGGCCACTAAATAATGGTATTTCGACCTGATTTAGGTTCGTAATCAGGCGAACGTGGTGGCTGCATGGTTGGTTTTGTCCATGAGCAAAGTAAATATGAGCTAGTTTGACTTAAAACGTACTCCACAATGGCATCTCTCCCGTTAGGGAGATAGCCCTCGAGCCAATGCCATATTCAAAATAATATAACTTAGCTTTCCAGTGGCTTGTTAGAAAATGGTCGACACGGCAAGCAATCATCAGAGGAATTGTTTAAGAGTTTATATCTACGGCAATGATGTATTTTCGGAGCTATTGACGTGCTGCTACTACATTTTATCAAATTTTCGACTAAAGAAAAGAAATTTGACATTTTAAAGTTTGAACGTAAAAAAGAAAAGGATAGCATGTTATATTTCAGTCTTAAAAATCATAATTTTTAAACATTTTAGTATGCATCTGCAGGGAAGATGTATTTATGTTTTTCTCACGCTTATGAAATATGCAAGATGTTTCTAAAGTTATAAGAATTAAGCTCTAGTTCAATTTCTGAAATTCAACTGTGCAACGCTATCGACCACAGACAAGTCTTGACATGTCTGTACGGTTACACCATGCAATACTGATTAGTCCGATTTAGTTGTTTGGCCAATATAGACGAAGTTTTGTAGCACTGTTTTTGCAACTATGGAACATACAAACAGCAGTCATTTCCATTTTATGGAAAGAGGGTGTGAAAATTTCAGAAATTATTCAGCATCTGCGCGCAGTATTCTGTTTCCACATCTGGAAAAAAAAAAAAAAAAAAAAAAAACTTTACAGGTTGTTCGATTTGAGAATTTAACCATGCCATAAATTGGTAGATCGAGAAGACATCGGAAACGTTCTTCCAGGGTAGTTTAAAAATTAATTTTTGCTGGTATAAGTGTATTCCATCAAGTGAAGATTATGCTGCAAAAGTGCATTTTAAAAATGATGAAAACTGACGAAATTAAAAAAAAAGTATCTAAATCTCTAGAACTTGGAAAACATTGCTCGTAAATATACCCGTTTGTTTCGCAAGCACATACAAAAATATATAATGACCAGAAAACTATTCTTTTAAAGAAATAATATCGTGATAGTTACCTGTAGTAGTTTATCTTTGACTACTTTTCATTTGTTATATTCTTGTCCGCGTCCTCCAATTTGGTTTATTTAACTATGGCAAAGCACTCGACGATATTTGCCTAAGGAGACGGATGCCTTCGCGGAAAACAGAAACTAGCTCGTATTCACGTTACACAGGGAAGGGGGGATAAGAAAATGTCCATGCAGCCAATCTGTTCTCCGGGATTCGAAACTCGAACCGAGCTACCAGTGCTCAGCGACTTTACCGTTCGGGCCTGGTGGGCCGCGCATCCTCTGGAAGTTAAATTATTCGCATAATTTTTCCATCTGGATTTTTTTGATACTAAAACTAGTAAAATATTCTTATGTGGACACCACATGACTTCCTTATACGGCCTATTAAATTATACACATTGTTTGCTACAAGTCATTTAAACATTATATCCTCGAATAATTTTAACTTAATTCACCGAGTCCTACAGGCAAGTTAAAAATGCTATCAAAAATTGCAAATTTTCAAAAAATTTGACATTGGCAAAACATTAATATTTCCTTTATTCGAAACACTTCTCTAATTGGAAGTATATGACTATGAATAACGACTGCGAAAATAAAGGCCGGTAAGGAGGATGGGTATAGATATATACGTACTTTTGGTACTGCCGATTGCAATAAAAGAGAAAGGTGAGCAGCTAGATGTTATAGCAATCACAGGTTCAAAATTTCAACATTTTATGGCTAATTGTTTTTGAGTTATATGAGATATATGCATACATACATACGTACAGACGTCGCGAAAAAATCCATTTGGGAATAAAGGGTCCTTTATTCTGTCTGTACGTATAGACGTGACGCAAAAAATAGTCAAAAGTGCTATTTCGGTTGATAACTGATAACCGAATTTTCTTTTGCGATTACAATCCTGTACTTCGTATACAATGAAGTCAAAAGGGGGAAAATGAGCAAGGAAATACAATTTGTATATATTAGAGCACTAATTCGATTTGGAAAAGACTCAAAACGACAAGCATGTTCGATATCGGTGTAAATTACCTATCCTGCATCTAATCGACCGGAAATGACGTTTAATACAGGAATTTATTACTTTACAATTGGGAAAAAGAGGGGAATTGGAACTCTTATCTTTTGAATTTTTGAGTGTAAAAAATATAAATCAGTATAGTCGTCTCTTTCAAATGTCTATTGAAATCCCTCATTTCTATTTTTTAACAATGAATAATCTGTATGTACGTATGCATGCATGCATGTTCCTCGCGTTACAGGAAAATGGCGGTATCTTGAACCACTGAGGGCATTGTTCATTTTTCATGTTTCCTGTTTCAAAATAACTTAATGTCCTTGAGCTGATAATATCAAGCTAAAGATTTGTAAGGGCCCACCAGCGGCCGAGCGGTAAAGACGCTGAACACTGGTACTTCGGTCCGAAGTTTGAATCCCGCGAACGGGCTGGCTGCATGGGCGTTTCCTTGGTTTTCCCCATCTGCAACGTGTATACGAGCCAGTTTCTTAGAAAGTCCTCCACGAAGGCATCTCTCCCTTTAGGCAGATAGCCCTCGTGTGCTTTGTCGTAATTGAGTAATCCTAATCCTAAAGATTTGTAAAATTAGAAATTATTTATTCCCCCCCCCATTGGACTCACTCTTGCTAATACTTTTCTTTTGTTGTCTGTTTAGCTATTATTATTAAGCAATCAACAATATCACAAAATGTTTATCATGCAAGCTATATATATTTAAAATTCCCGATTTTTTGCAAACTTTTTTCAGTGTGACATATAAAACTGTTTTGCTTTGACTTTTTGTTATCAACGTTTTGCTATTAAATAGCCCATTCTTCATTCTTATGCCGCATAAAATTCAACAGCAAACTCATAAAGTATTATAAATCGCACATCTTTAGAATTATACAGTGTTAGAAGTTGCCAAACATGTTTTTACATTCACTATAATACTTCGTTAAAAACTAGCCGCCTAAAACAATAATCGTAAAAAGGAAAAAATATAAAATTTTAATGAATTAAGCTAGAGTAATTTCATAAAAATACTTCTGCTAAGCTATCTCATGATTTTAATTTATTTTTATTTAAATCAATCAGGTTGAAATGTAGAAAACGTATTCTCGAGAACTGTGTTTATTGCTCTTAAATCGCTTAATTTGTTACTCAATAACCTTCCAGATTAAATATGAAAGTTAAAGGGTTCACAGTAGAAGGTGCTAGCACCACGGTGCCTGGGCCGAAGACCCTACCCCTGATCCAAAATTTGGGTGCCTCTTAATATTGTAGAACATAACATTTAATAATTTCTCCCATCAATAAAATTCCGAGTTCCATACTCAAGGGACCCCATTCCGGATATGAATTCCTGGGGTATTTATAGTATTCTCTGCCAGTGTGGTTTAATTTACATTGGCCAAACTAAGAGAGCCCTAAAATTTCGCGTCAAGGAACATGAAGCATATGTTAGAAAAAAGGAAACAGAGAAGTCTTCTGTTGCTCAACATTGTTGGTCCGAAAATCACACTTTCAATTTTATGCTGCCAGAATTATTCAAAAAACATCTTCCATTGAAGAACTGGATTTTCTAGAGTCATTTCGCATTCAAAAAAATCTTTCTGTTCTAGTTAACGATCCTAATTCCAATCCAACTTTGCCTTCGGCCTTTAAAGAAATTATGTTTTAGTTCTGGTTTCATCAACAGATGGCGCCCCTTGCTTATTCTTGTTCAGGCTTTCTTATCTTATCTAATCATTATATCCTATCTCGTTCATTTGCGGTTTTGCAGCTGAGGATGGTGGTTCGGTAAAACTATCGAAACTAGTCCTGTGAAAATTTTGAAAATATAACGCTGATTTTTGTTGTTTGACTTCTGAATCAGCATAACATTTACATTTGATGTAACATTGACATGAAAACACACACTAGTATGTGGAGATTAGAGGTGTTCTATTTAAGACAGAAGCAATAAGTTGCTTTCAAATACCGAATTTGCGAATTAAAATTGAAAGATCTTGATTGAAATATCTTGGCAACAGTCTGGTACGCTGGAAATAAAAATGTCTTATTTCGGACAGAGTTGTCAGTTCTGGTTTTCATATCTCTGAATTGGTTAAACAAAAATTCCTTAAATTTATACAAATAAAAAGCAAATTCGAAACTTGGGCTTTGAGGTACTAATGTTCGGATGGAGGATTACGTGTATTAAAAATTCGGTGGTTTTAGGTACGGTTGTTTCTCCGAAATGCAATTTCTCCACATCCACTATTTTTCACTTGTGTATTGTTTACCAAAAAAATTAATTATTTATGGGAAAAAAATCATTTTTATATCTTTCGTCTATATTTAATTGCGGAAAAGTCTCGATTTTAAAAAGATATCAGGAATAAGAAGCCCAGATATATATGCAGTCAACAACATTCACAACTGTTCAGTTTTACAGTCCAGAAATTAAATTGTCACATCTTGTAAATTAAGATAATTGATTATATTAAGTGTTATGGATATATTTTATCATGTAACCGCTGCAACAAATCCCTTGCATATAAAATTTGAATTCTTTTTTAATATGATGTTTGTTAGCTGTTATTATTATACAGATATATATCATCTATATTACCCTCTCCGGTCGATTCCATTCTTGAAGCAGTATTCACAGTGTCACCAAACAAGCAATATCTAGGCATCTTGAGACCGACTACTCCTGCTACGCAGGGTCCTGCGGAAAGTAAAAAACATTTATACCATATCAGTAATTAATATTTTACGCAAATAAGTGATTATCTGTGTATGATCACGCAACACAGTGTACGATCAGAACAGGAAAACAAGATTTACCTAACTGTGAATAAGATTTCAACAAATTATATCAGATAGAACAATAGTTGTTTCTTCTAACAGATTAAACAGAAATACATGAAATTTCTTTAATAAAGCTTTTCCTGTTTCTTTACTTTTTTAAAAAATAAAACACGAAATAATTACCGTATATTCCGGGTTATAACGCGCAGCTAATAATTTAAAACTACGCTTGTTTAATTTTTATGTATATTCGCCGTATACCCTTTTCTTTGCGAAGTAACCTGAGAGATACAAGTGCAATCTTTCGAAATCATTCATTTTTCCAGGCTTTCGAACAATGGTTACTTAGTTAGTTCTAAGCACTGACACTCAGCCCACCTAGCAGACGACATAGCTATGAGGGGATAGGCCAATAAAAAAAAAGGTTACATAACGGAATATAGCAAACTTAATAAACATTTGATAATAAGTTCAGATAATACAATCACACAAAACGAACATAAAAACTCAAAAGAAGAAAAGAAAAAGGGTTTAAAAAAAAAAGCAAAATCAAACATGTAAAGAAAATACACACATTACAAACACTCTCGGCGAAATTACTATATGGAGCTATCGTTTCCCTTTCTGTGTTTTTTCTCAGTTTTAAATATTTATAAATTTTATCTTCAATTAGTTATTATTATTCAAATCTTCTTTATATTATCAAAATTCAGCTTAAATTTAAAAGTTTACTTTAATTATATATATTTTCAATATGATTTTCTGTTATATCTCGATACCAATATTCTTCTTATTCTAATTCACAATTTGCATAATATCTCTTGCAAATTTTCTAAACAATTTATAATTACTAAATAAATCTTGTTTAACTTTGTAAATTTATGTTTTACTCTCCCATTTTCAGTCAGGCAACAGTCCTCGACGAAGTGCTTTGAATCGCCGAATTGATTACAAACTTTACGTATATCATTTTCCTGGAGGTGGAACCGTTTTAAGTAAGCAGAGAACCTTCATGAGCAGTGAGCATTTGATTGACATCTACATGTCCTAAAATTCGCATTTTTTGCTAATTTTTAAACAACTTAGATATTTTTTGTTTCTTTCACAGAGATCCCACAGACTTTTCCAGTAAAATAACAAATACCACAATAAAACAAATTCCAAATTTGGGCTTCGAGATGCCCATATTCGGGTTTAGGCTACGTTGTTGAAATTTTGATACCTCTAGCTACCGTTGTTTTTACGCAATACGAGAAACATACATACATTCATGCAGATTCTTCATTATTTAATTTCTTTAAATGTAATACACGGCGATAATATTTGGTGGCAAAAATTTGAAAAACGAAACGGTCATTTATAGTGAACGGACGCAAAATGCCGTTTCGAACTAACAGCCTTTCTGAGCTGATCCCCTTTCTGGGGGCAAAGTCCCTTTTGTCTCTATAATAATGGCAATCTAAAATATGTGGCAAGATATGACAGGATATAATAGAGACATGTGAAGAAAAATGTGTGGATGGATAATTGGCCCGACGGCGAACTGGCCCGAAGGCGAAATGGTATGACGGCGAAGCGGCGATGGCGAAAGGGCTGCGACGAATATTTCCTTCTCTTATTTTAAGCTTTTAGCTCTTGAATACAAAAGTTAAAAATATATTTAATATAATATTGATGCTTAAATTTGAATTGATTCGATTCCTCGATCTTTAACTGAGGCTATGCCTGATTTTTTAAATCTTCGTTACTGCCGAAGACTAACCTTCAGAGTACAAGAGCTATTAAAACACCAAAGAAATCATTCAAGTTCAAACCTGAGTTGATGCCGATCCGCAGACTGAGTCTTTCATTGGGTCTGTGCTTGATTTTTAAAGTTTCTATCGCCTCCAGGAGTCGTAGAGCCAAGGAAGCGATTTCTCCGGCATGTCTATTGCCATTTCGAATTGGAAGACCACTCACGACCATGTAAGCATCGCCAATGGTCTCTACTTTGTATACGTCATAGTTGCCGATTATGGAATCAAAGCAGGTGTACAAATCGTTCAACAAATCTACAACCTGCAAATAAAACGTGTTTTAAAATTAGGATAAGGTTTCAGTATGTTACCTTCATTATCATTCACTTAACGTTATTTCGGTTTTCAGTTCTAATTAGTAAAATTAAAGATGAAAGAAATCATAGCATTTTATACATAATACAGTTATCTCAAACTGGGGGGACCCCAAGGTATATTAAGAATTTTTTTTTGCAATCAATGGGGTCTTGATTATGCCGATCAATTTTTGGAACATACTCTACTGTTGATATCAAATTTTAGAAGCTTTTAGGTAGAAGCTGTAAAAGCTGCTAAATCGATTAGGTAAAATTTTTTAAATAGTAACAGTTGTTAATAGTATAAAATGTTAATCGATTAGGTAGAATTTGTTAAATAGTAACAGTTGTTAATAATATAAAATGTTAATCGATTAGGTAAAATTTGTTAAATAGTAACAGTTGTTAATAATATAAAATGTTAATCGATTAGATAGAATTTGTTAAATAGTAACAGTTGTTAATAGTATAAAATGTTCATTGATTAGATAGAATTTGTTAAATAGTAACAGTTGTTAATAGTATAAAATGTCCATTGATTAGATAGAATTTGTTAGTAACAGTTGTTAATAGTATAAAATGTTAATCGATTAGGTAGAAGGTTACGATTCTACGATTAGGTACTACTTTTAGGTATCGATTCTACGATTGGGTAGAAGTTGTTAAATCGATCAGGTAGAAGCTGTTAAATAGTAACGGCTGTTAATAATAAAAAATGTAGAAGCTGTTAAATCGACTGTAGAAGCTGTAAGTACCCCTAATCAATCGCTTGACCATATCGACTCCCTTTCAAACTTTATCGACCTCTGGGAACCCCTGTTTTAGAGTTGAAAATATTTTTGTTCAAGAAAAATTTTTAATATTTATCATTATCAATAAGAAAATTATTAATGAAAAAAACTGAGTAATATTGCACAAATATTACTGAATGTTTTCAGTACGTTTGTGCAAACTCTAATGAAACGATGACCACTTAATGTTCATTTTTTGTCAACGATTTTTAGACTATTTATTTCTTTTAATCAAAATAATAACAATAATAATAATAATAATAATATATTTCTAAGGCTAAGTAAAGAAAAGAAACAAAAGGTCGAAGTCTAATTATGCATATTAAGAAAATGAATTAGAAATAGAATGAATTAGAATTAGCAAGTGGGTCACCTGCAGGGGCGTGCTGATCGCCGAAAGAGAAGTGAACCCAACAATGTCGCTGAAGTAGATAGTGACAGAATCGAAGCTTTCTGCCTCAACTTTCTCACCTCTTAGCAACTGCTCGGCGACAGGTCTGCAAAAAAATTAATTATGCCATGTTTAAGGAATTTGAATAATTTTTATTAAATGGAACAATTAATCAGTTTCACAATATTTAAAGCTAAAAATTTAAGAAATTTATTTCTAAAGATCAATTTATTAACTCATCTGCACAGACATTAGTTTTATTTCGGAATAGAAAAGATGAAAAATCAGCGTTGCCCTTGATGGGATACGAACTTCGAATCTTTCGATTGCTAGTAAGAAGAGCTTTCAGTTGCAGCACTAAGACACGTAGTAAGGGAGAAAATTCCTTACATTCTTCCCCACTTAGGACCGTATCACAGATTCGAAACAACAAATATTTAGTGCAATTTTTATTTCGTTTTGGTTTACTTAGTTATAGCAAAGCATTTGAGGGCTATCTGCCTAAGGGAAGGGATGCCTTCATGAAGGACTTTCTACGGGTAATTAGCTCGTATACATGTTGCACATGGGGAAAAACTCAAAACGCATGTGCAACCAGCCAGCCCATTCGCAACGAATCGAACCCAGGTCGGAACTAACAGTGTTCAACGCTTTAATGCTTTTACCGGTCGGCAGTTGATGGGCCTCAGCGTTGAACAAATCTATAGCTTTTTGAGGAAGACAGGAAAATGATCGCGCTAACATTTCGAGAGGAACTATTAAATGTAGTTTTCCTTTCTTGTTACGTGGTGCGAAAACGTTAGTTACGACGGATCACTCTGGAGTTACCACTCAAAGAGGAAATTATTCTCTTTACGAATTCAGAAACTACTAACAAAAGAGCTCCCATTCAAATTTTTTAGTTCGATACCGATTGAGTGAAAACGTACAATAATAAAGCCAAAAAAATTGTTTGAAATAGTTGTTCGTCCGAAACGGGTAAATGTGTGACAGAGATTGGAAAGGAGGAGACTCAGTCGTCAAATCCAAGTGTAGGAGAATTCCCACATTCATCACATTTTAGTTCGGGTCCCACTTGTATAATCATTTGATTTATTTAAGCAAGAGACATGAAAATTCAGCACTGCCTTAGCCGGAATTCTAACTTCGGACTTTCCAATTGCTAGCAAGAGGTGCTTTCAATTGCAGGCACGTAGTAATGATGGAAAAAATATTTTACTTATTATGCGTAAAAAAAAATAATATCGCCGAAAATTTCATCATTGCGTTTTTGTTTAATATTTCAACTACTTATTGGTATTAGTGATCTAAAAAAAAATCTGAAAGACATAATTTCAGATATCCGATTTGATAATTCGTGGAATTTTAATTAAAACGAATATCTAAATATATGATTGTTAAGTAAACCTATGTTCTACATTAGTTAGTTACTAAGCGATAATTTGCCGACATCTACGTGCAACCTCGAAACTCAGCTGAAGTACTAAGCAAGAATTTTTAGTAACAAACAAGTGATTTAAGGTAAGAAAGATTATAAATTAGATCTCAACCTCTCTTCGTATAAACTAGTAAGGTAATTATTAATTTTATCTAGCCAGTTAATTTATAATTAAGACACAATAACACGCCGAATAAATACTAATTCAGAAGTCAAACAACAAAAATCAGCGTTATACCTACAAAATTTTCACAGAATCAGTTAATCATCATGAATCAGTTAATTTATGTTACCCATCTTTACTGTTACCCTTTGCATTTTTCTTCCAGAATGCCAACTTTAATTCACGCATATTCAAATGAGGCAGTATTTAAAGGGAGGTTTTAGACAGAGCATGTTACTCCTGATGAAAAGCACTTCTAGTTGACATTCTATGTTAGCAGTCTGTCTTCGGCGTTGCTTTATTCATGCTAATAGGGCTTTGCCAAGCCGGTACAAGTTTCAGCCAACTTGCGAGCTATTATTTCTATGTAGCATTTAGGGCTAACTCAAGATTTAACTTACTTTTAATTTGAATTTCTTACTTTTGAATTACGGAATAAATTCAGGCTGGTGTTGTTAGCACCAAATGTGCCTTCTGTTAACTAAATCAGTTCTTAATAAAAGGGTCTTTTGCCCCCTTCATACGTTATCTATTTTCTTACGAGGCATAGCGATAATTCACTTTAGTCTTCCAGAGTCTCGGCTTAGTGTATGTTTCCTAAGATGTTCTATAATGTTATTAATTTTCATAAACTTAATCTTCGCTTGCAATGCTAAGATATGTGAAAAAACTAATTTATTTTAACAAACTGAACTTAGCAGACAGAAACAAGTTGTTATTAATTCCTTTGATGCTAGTGATAAAAAAAAGCACGAAAGCATTTCAGAGATGGTCTATTTTCAAATATATTTAGAAATGAAATCAATATTTCTTTATAAATTTTTGCGAAATGCCCAGCTGCGGTAAGATAGATTGTCTCCAAAACGGGTAAAGGTTGCCAGGAAATGACAAAGAAAGGCAGGGTTACCAGATTTGGCGTGAAATCGTCCATTTGGCGACACAATGGGCGATATGCCATAGACGGAGCGAGAAAATTGTAGAACGTATTCTTAGCGGTTTTCTCGAGAATGTTCTCAAAGGTAGGTCATAACCTGCTTGAACGCGTAGTAAGAGTATTCTTGGATTCAGTAGTGTAGTTGTATCTTGAGTTCAGTAGCAGTAACCTGAGTTCAGAGATTAGCTTGAGAGCGATCAAACGAGACCAGAGCTGTATTTTGAACCATGAACCATTTTGTTTACCATGAAGCTATCTTTACCGTTATAGTCTTAAGGCTATGTTTTTGATAGTTTCAGCGTGTCTATTGGATTTTTTTTACGACTGTTAGCGTTCTTTGAAATTGTCCAGTATAATACTGGGCGAATATATTGTGTTTTGATTCTTCATCAAGTGCTATTATCAGTTACTCCAAATACACGAACGTAGAACGCAACAATATTGTTACGTGTTAGCTTGAAGAATTTATTTTCTCAAAAGAAACGTTCTGGGAATTTTCACGCAAAAGTTTTCGTACAGTTCAGTATTACAGAACAGAATTAATAGTTACCATTTCAAGCCACTAAGAGCGTTAAATACAAGACAACAGAAAAAAGCCTTAAACGCTTTAAGCTCTCAAAATGATCTCTCAATATTCTGAATTAAACTCTGAACTAAGAACTGATGCTCATTCCGGCCTTATATGTTTTCCGCTCTCCGCCGAGAAATTTCCTTACATTCGATTTCTCGAGGAACGCGTATTTTTTCTCCCTTCTTCGAGCATGCCTTCGTGGTGTAACGGTAGCACATTCAGCGTATATTCCAGAGGTCCAAGTTCGATTCCCGTGAAGGCACTGCTCATTTTTCAAGTCTTCTGCTTTAAAAAGAAACCTACTGACTTTACAAGTTAATTATATAGAGTAGGATACAATTACAATGAAATAAGAATTGGACCAAAAATGTCTCCTAGTATGGCCACTTTTGGTGATTTCTCGCCAATTGTGGCCACAAAAAGTAGTCTCCAGAACCATCGGCAGCTTTGCGCTATCTCCGACTTACCCCTGTAATCCTATTTTTCGCGCTAAGTTACTCATTTCTGAGATCTTTCATGTTACGTTATACAAGAGATACTACAATTTATATAGAATTTCACTAAAATTATTTACATATATACAAAATTCGTAGCAATATTATGCGTTACTTTTGCTTATAGCACAATTCGTTTCTCTTGAGGCAGCTACAAATGACACAAGGCCATTCTAGAAACCGTGGTTAATTTTGCCAAAAACGGATTAAAAATTCCATTTATTATTACCCAAGATTATGTTACCAATATTTTAACTCAGAATTTTAAAACAGGCATACGTTTTAGTATTTAAAAAATTGAGAAATTATTTTAACTTAGTATTTAATAACATCTAATTGTATAAAATATTTGCCACTTCTTTGCATTTGCTGTTTGGTTCTTAATATTTTGCATACATTTTGATTGCCAATCGCTAAAATTTATTCAAAGAATATTAAGATTTTAGATGCAAAAATAATGATACAAACTTTGGCAACATTCGAAGCAAAAGATTTTCCGTCTTCTTCTTTTCTTCAAGAAGCTGTTTAGTCCGCTCTTTGACCACAGTTTCTAGATTGTAAGCATATTTCTCCATGATACTGATCATATTATCAAAGATGTTTGTGTGCCTGCAAAGAAAATCTCATCATTTTTATCCTAGAATTTGTTACTTATCTAAAATACTATAAATATCCTAGTATTACTTATCTAAAATACTATAAAAAGGCGAATAGAAATCTGCGTAACACATTATGCTTAGTGTAAAAATAAGTATTAGAAAAGGGATGCATAAATCTATTTCGTCACAAAAACACACATAAATGTTTTAATTTATCGTACTTTCCGATATAATTTTAGAAACTATAGAAACAGTACGTACCTTTTTCGAGTACAGAGGCAATTCGTACAGTTTTTAGACGACTTTCATTGTATTTACAGAAATATTTTATCTAAAATTTTTGTGTTTTAAACGTCCTATTTGATAACCGTTATTCTTCACTTATCTTTCTACAGCGTGATTTTGAAGACAATAAAACCTCTTCTAGAATCAGAAAAAGCATTTTATCCCATTTTTCTTGAACAGATTTCCAAAATCCAAGAAGGGTTGTAGGTCGACGTTCGGACAATACGTTTTTTAAAAGTCCAGAAGCCCAAAAACCATAGTGATAAATCAGAAGATTTAGCATGAATATGAATGAAGGGTTTAACCTTTATATAACTTGTTTCATGTCTATCCGGTTCAAAGAAACATGCAATTAGAGTAATGCAAAAATATTGATAAATGGTCGCCAGAAAGGAATAGTTCAATAAGAAATAAGGAATTATTGAAAAGTATAAAAATAACTCAAAAAATGCCAATATATAATGATATAGATGCAAAGCAGTTTGTAACAAATCACGGTAGATTTTTCGGAGTATCTCAGTAGATTGGGTATACAGGAAAATTCATTATGCCTAGCTTGTAATTCACCTGGCTCCAAAGGGCACTTCGCGTTTGAATGTAAATTAACAGAAAGTGTACGACTACAAATGAAAATTTCAAATTTTGAAAATGTAACCTATAATACATTACGTAAGTTTGGCCAAACAGATTGTAGGAGTTATTAACGGTAAACGAAGTGCATGTGGTGTTTTTATATAATCAAAGTTATAGCTGTATTAACTAAAAATTGTCTTTTATTGTATTTTTACTTGCATTTAAGTGATCTTAAAATTTTATGGATTTGATTTGGAGTTTTACTTATAATTTTATTCATTTTGACTTATTCAGACACTAATTTTATGCCTAATTTCATTTTTTAATTCTATATGTCCTTGCTTTCTTTACTCGATATGTGTTAGAAAAAATCAGCAGCAGCCATAAATCCCTTTGAAAAGCTTTCTTTAGATTCTTTGAACCATGTTCAACAATTTTTTTCTCCACTTTGATGATAATAAATGGATCGCTTTTATTTCAGTCATTTAAGTACACCCAACATTCAACTATTATGAGAATAGTTTTCCATTTTTGTTCAGATGAATGTTTTTCATAAAGAATTCTGCAGTGCGTCCTGCGTTTGGCGGTATCTAGTGGGAAAAGACGATGAAGCGCTATATTTTTTCGGCTTTTTAAGACTCAAATAAATAGAAATAATTTTGTTTACAGTTGACACTGAGCATTTTAATGATTTCGCAATTGTCCTTTGACTTGGCGGATTTTCTTCTAGTATTAAGGCTCTTACTCTTGCAACATTCAAAACACTCCGTTTTTGCCTTGGATATGTATTTGGAATAATTTTTCCACTTGAAGATAAACTTTGATGTTTTTTTGCCTTTCTTGTTGATAATATTACCTATAGTAGCTTTAGATATTGAAAAACCAGAGCTTTTACAGCGTTTTTTAATAAGTAGATACAAATAATTTTCTTCGGAAAGGGCACAGACATAGCCTTCGATCCATTCCTCCTTTAAAAGCACCAGTTCGCTGTGCAACAAAACTGTGAAGTAGGAGATGATAATTTGTACTTTCAAAACTACAGCTGCAGTTAAAAAAAGCTTCTAAGCAGATGCTTTTTACAGCAAATCAAAACTGTCTAAAAATGTGCGAACAGCTTACGTTGTAAGGTATTTCTCCCACTTCCCTAGCGTACCTTCGTGGTGTAACGGTAGCACGCTGAGCCGGTATTCCAGAGGACCGTGGTTCGATTCCCGGCGAAGGCGGTTGCATATTTTTCATCTTTTCTGCTTCCAATTAACGTAATGACTCTACAACATATTCATTTGGAGCCTTCTGTGCGTGTAGAAGTAATAAAGGACAGTTTTCCTCTTTTTTAATAATAACTGTGCTTATTTTGCACTTAAAATTTTATATGCATTTCACAGCGTTTTTTAATTTTGGAATAGGAATATTTCTTTTCGGAAAGCGTAGAAACATACCCTTCAACCCAGGGCTTATTTATATGCGATATTTTGAAAGTAGAGTCAATTCAAAAGTGACAGATGATGTTTCTCCTGCCAAATATCAAGCTGCTGCTGGAACTGTTTATTTTTAAAATATCTGTTTTGAATTTTTTAATTCTTTATGGAAATCTTTCTAAAAATGTGTGAACATGCTCTGTACTCTATTCCTGCAGAATGTTTCCTACGGTTTATGCCATTGATGGCACACTAATATTTTAAAATTGAGTTGAAGGCAAAGAATATTATGATTTGTCTTTAAAAACCGTTGGAACTTGGAATACAACAAAAAGAAAGCTTACGAAAATGGCGACTTAGTTCGATTGAAGGATTGTTATCGGTATGGCTGGCTGAAGATTGTCTGTCCACATGGTTGCCATAGTTTGGCCCATTCTGAAAGTTTGGCGACTTCAGTTAAGATACTTCCGTTAAAATGCAAGTACCAAACTCTCAGTGTTTATAATTAGCTTGCAAAGATCTGCATACCTGGCAGCCCGGGAAATATTCCAACGAGTTCTCAATTTCACGCCACACATTTGTGCTGTCATTGTGCGAATGATGTCTATGATGCGCTGTCGTAAAGTCACAGCATCAACCACATCAGGAAATGTGCAGTGCACATAGTCTTTAACATACTCCAAAAGAAAGAAGTGTAGGTGGGGATGTCAGGCGAAGCGTGTGCAGTGAATACTCGTTGGGATGTCGTACGTGGTGCTATCAGGAGTGCAGATGTGGAAGTCTATTATTAAATGTTTTCGATATGATTATAAAGTCTCAGAAGTTGATGCATTTGAGGTTTAATATACACTGGTGTGCAAAAATTAAGGACGAGACGGTTTTTTCAATATAACTTTGTACAAAAGATTTCCAAACCAACACATTTAATACCGTAAGATCCCCCAATACGTAAGGACATAAGTAATGTAAGCAACACTTACTAAAAGAGAAATCAGAGGGATAAAAAGAAGCTTTTATTGAAAAAGTAGCATGGAGCGCAATGCGACTGAAGGCCGAAACATCCCTGTGATGGGTGTCCAGCAAGAAACATCCGGTCTTTAATAGGGGATATGATCTCTCCTGACTGGTAGGCAGGTTTCACAGCGTCTGCCCATGCTGAGAATGAAGGTGTCAATGAGTTGTTGAGGCTTTGCTGCCCATTCGTCTTGCAGCGCCAATCGAAGCTCCGGAATCGTTACTAGTGGTAAGGTGCGAGCTGCCAAGCGTCTGCCTAGAAAATCCCATACATGCTCGATGGGATTGAGATCCGGAGATAGTGCCGGCTAATCCATACGTTCAATATCCTCACTCTCTAAGAGCTGTTCGGCAGTTACTGTGCGATGACATGGTGCATTGTCGTCCATGAAAAGGAACTGCGGACCCATAGCGCCTCTAAAAAGACGCACATATGGAAAAAGAATCTCGTTACAATAACGGGTCCCGTTGACTGAACCTGCGTCGAAGATGTGAAGATCTGTACGACTACCAAGCATGATGCCTCCCCAAACGAGAACACCGCCACCTCCATACCTGTCCCTTTCAATGATGTTCGAGGGATGATTGCGGCTTCCCCGCTCTCTCCAGATGAGTATGCGATGAGAATCGCTACTCAGACTGAATCTGCTCTCATCTGTAAAGAGTACTCGTCCCCATTCATTGTCTCTCCAATTCCGGTGTTCCCGGCACAACAGAGAACGCCTTCTCCGATGGGCAGTCGTTAGAGGTACACACCGTACAGGGCGTCGTGCAAACAGACCACCACCGTGCAGTCTTCTGGCCACGGTAAAACGCGATATCGGTCGTCCAGTCGCCTGTGTCGTGTGTCTAGCGATTTCTTCCGCTGTCTGCCGCCTGTTTCTTCTGGCCTGTAAGGCAATATACCGGTCATCTACGGGTGTGGTTCCTCGTGGACGACCACTACTAAACCCCCGGATAGCTGTTCCTGTAGTTTGAAATTGTCTCCAAAGTCGTGAAACAATGCTGTGAGCAATTCCGAACTCTGCAGCCACACTTGTCACACTGCGGCCTTCCTCCAACTTCCCAATGATTAGACCTCGGGTAAAAGCATTCAGATGTCGTCTAAAGATTGATTATTCGCCATTTCTCGCTGAGGCAGCAACTCGGTGTGATTTTAACTGCTATACGGCGTGCAATCTCTTTGCCAGAAATACTGATCTTACACCGAGAACATGCTTTATACTACTCAGACACTCCCCCATCACGTCTACCTGCATATCTGCGCATGTGCTACCGTACATCACCTTACGTAATCTCCTGATTGGTCTTTCTGTCCGCTCTGCCTCTTCGTTCAGCTGATATGCTAATTTTTCGACTTCGTCCTTAATTTTTGCACACCAGTGTATGTTTAGTTATCTGTGCATAATCTTGAATTATCATGTTCTGTAAACATTTATGGACACCCTGTGTAAAGTGAGATTTTTGTAGCATTCGAATATGCTAACATCAGTTGCCGGAATGAAGCAAGTGAACTATTAGACTGCCTAGAGTTTGGTATTCTTAGGTATTTAGCATGAACTAGATTAAAACTCTAAAAAATCTTAAATAAATTTTCACTATCTTTTGTAAGTACCACAGTCACAGGAAAAGAATGTAAAGGATCCTTTATTAACTCAAATAAATGTTAACAGACGGCACGAACTTGTGCTGAAACTAAGAAAATAAGTTAGCCTAACGGGTTCACAACTGAAATAACGCGAAGCTGGCTCTGACCCAAGGTTGGCGTAATGGCGAGGATAACTCAAAGCCGCAGAATAGTGTTCGCAAAAGAATCAAATTAGCAACGTGGCCTTAAGCAGGCAGAACACGCTTTCTTTCTACCCTTTGAAATCTTCCTCTGAAGAGTATCCTGTTTCTGCCTCATTAGAATGTCACGCGAGCTAGATATTTACGTTATGGCAGGAAAATGAAAATGGGAGCGATGTGAGAGAAAATTAACACAAAATAACTAGTTATAAATTTAAACGTGAACTCTACAACTTAATAAAGGACATATTCGTCGGCTGTTGGACCAATGATGCCAGCTTCCTACATTCCTCCAAAAAGATTACCACGTGCAGAAAACCTCAATGTAACTTTCAGCATGGAGTGCTCAATGAAAAATGGGAATCTAAGATGCTGATAATGCAGAATAGATTCCGCAGTGATGAGTTTCAATTAAAGATCAAATTTCGCTGAAAGACAGGCAGTTTCAAATAAGAGACAATCATGCAATGTTTTCTTCACTGTTTGATTCTTTAAATTTATAGTGACGTCATCTGTAAACATAGCTATCAAATTCATATGTTGTTTGAATGTCCAAATAAAGAACTGCTTACAAGCCGGAATGTAATACTCGTAGCTTAACTTTGATAAATCGGAAATCCGGTCTGTCGTCTGGATCTTCCATCCAGCATTCTTCCATGCATTGCTTGATGTATTCCGGACAGTCCAGCTTTCGGGAAGGGGGACGAAACAATTCACCCCCATAGTGATGAGGATTTGACACTCTTTCCCCTACATCTGAAAAAAAAAAAAAAAAAATACATAAAATGTTAAAAAAAAAAGAGTTGAAATAGTTAAAACGTAATTTTATAAGTGCACATTTAAGTAATTTAATTAAACAAAATTTTAAATAAATAATTACAAAGTAAAGTTTTTAATAATTAACTATGATAGATATCTGAATATGTTCTATAAACGTGCATTTATATGGGTATCTACAGATAATTTCCCATGGAGGTTAAAAGACTGGAGAGAAATTATTACATGAATGAATTTTTATTTAATTATTTAATATGGACAGTTGAAAAGGAGTTTAGGTTATTGGAATATGCGAAAACACACGAGAGCTATCCGCCTATAGATACGGATGCCTTTGTGGTAGACTTTTTAAGGAAAACTGTCTCGTATTTATATTACCTCTGGGAAAATCCACCCGAGTTGCCAAAATATTAGTCTAGGTTCAAACTCCTCATATTCTGTGCTCTTAAAGTTCCGTATTCTGTTCTTAGTTGTTTAGTTAGCTGCTGTTGTTATTGTTACGAGTTCAGCGTGAGATCGGATTAGCTTTCTCTTTAGATACGCTTTACATTGCGTTGTGTTTAAATTCTTAGTTTGAAGTGTAACTACTGATTATAGTGTGTAATACTATAAACACTTGTACGAATATTTCAATGGAAAATTCCAGAGTTCTGAAATATTTCTTTTGATAAAAATAATTTTTTTGTAACCACTCAATCTATTACGAACCCGTATGCACAAAACATTATTTATTTACGTACGTTTTTGTATTAGCCTTTCGTCCATTTTACTTTCTTTTGCATTTATTGCTCGAAACTGATTTTCTGCAAATTCTTCGTCAAGCAGCCTAGACGTGGCAGGTGTTCTCACATTTGAGAAATTCTCCAAACATATGATTTCACTTTACTTCTATTATTTACGTTCCAGCTGTCTGTAGCCTTATCTACTTTACTACTTACTTAGTCTTACCTACCAGGACTTTTATTCATCTCCTTCGTTCCTCCAATGTCTTCTTGAGAACTGCGGTCAAGAATCATTCGTGTGAGGTGCCTCTAGGGCTTTACAAGATAACTGAATCGAAACCGTCATATTTCGGCTAATATCCGTCAGCTATACTAATGTTAATATAACTACATAATCTTATTGGAAAGCAGGTAGTACTTAAATAATAATGTGATAGTTATTGGTTTGTTTATTCATGATTACTTTTCATTTGTTTTGTTCTTATTATAACCGCGTCCTTCAGAAATTAATTGACTTCCTAATTTTGTCTTCTGAAGTTTTGGACGATAAAATTGACTAAAAAAGGAAAGGGGCGGAGATGCTCGAGGAAATACGATGATACTGTGATTTTTTTAATTGCCCTCGGAATAACCATGGATTTGTGTTAATTGTAGCTACCACCCCTGTATTACCCTTTCAATCGGCCATTGGTTAAAAAGAATACAAAAATACACTTTTCAATTTCGTTGAATCTTATTATTACAATATTTATTGATATGAAGAGATCCATACAGTTAAACTTTTCTAATAATATATAGTATTGATTAAAAACAGGGCTTACATTTTATGGATGGTTCTGGTCGACCCCATGGTCCTATCCGACCCATGATTTCGAATAAAATGATTCCAAATGCGTACACATCTCCTTTTTGGGTTCCTCTAGGAGGAGGATTCAGCATACGTAACAGTTCAGGAGCTCTCCATAATAAGGCTTCAAAAGGAAAGGAAATATAAGTAATTTAAAAATATAGGATTGCAACATAGACAGTAAAGTTAGATAAAAAGCAAAATTTTTACAATTGTACAGTAGACGCCACTTTATGCGATTGCGGTTAATATTATCATTTGGATATTATTATCGAATTGCCGAAGTCCCACCCCGTTTATATGTGGAAAATACAATGCTTATTAGGATCAACAATTCGGTTAATTGGTTTGATTTATGTGATTACAGCAAAGCCTCAAGGGCTATCTGCCTAAGGGGAGGGATGCCTCCGTGGAGAATTTTCGAAGGGAAACTGTCTCGTATGTTCGTATGCACACATGGGGAAACCATGAAAACTCCTATGCAGCCAGCCCGTTCGCGAGATTCGAACCTCGGACCGAACTACTAGTGTTCAGCGACTTTACCGCTCGGCCGCTGATGGGCTCGGTTAATAGGATCAAAGTATTATACAGGGTGAATCATAAGTGTTGAGACAAACTTCTAGGGGAGGTAGGGCACATCATAAGGATTAAGAATTGCATAGGAACCCATGCCCGAAAATGTCAGGAGTAAGTGGTAGCAGATGTAGAAGACGGGAAATAAACAAGAGTGATTAATTTGAAACATTTTATTGGACATGAATACAAATGGTGTACGACAGCTTGAAGGTTAGAATAGATGCTCGAAGTTTGCACCATCAGACGCCAAACATGCCTGACACCGACGGATCATTTATTGCTGGACATGTTCAAACACACCGGGAGATTTTTTTTATTGTAGCAGCTGCGCAGGCGAGTCTTGCCACGAGATCCAATTCAGACACAACAGGATCGTGATACACGACACTTCTGATGGCTTCCCACAAAACGAAATCAAGGTTCGATAAATCCGGTGAGCGTGGGAGCCAGAGAATCGGTCCACCACACCCAATCCATAGATGCGGGAATGATCTGTTCCAATGGCTACGAACATCCAGTCCAAAATGAGCAGGGCATGTTGCGCCTCACATTTGGTGTCACATGTTGCGCCTCACATTTGGTGGAACATCGTCAAGCAGATCGGGAAGAACCGGCGCCAGAAAGATCAAATAATTCGCGACATTCAAATGGTCCGTTGGTGTCAGGCACGTTTGGCGTCTGATGATGCAAACTTCAAGCATCTGTTGTAATATTCAAGCTGTCGTGCACCATTTGTATTCATGCTCAATAAATGTTTCAAATTCACTCTTGCTTCTTTTCCCATCTTCTACCTCTGACTACTCACCCCTGACATTTCCGGGTATAGGTAAGCATGCAATTCATTATGATATGCCCTACGTTCCCTAGAAGTTTATCGCAACATTTACGGTATATTCTGTAGAATCTAGGGAAAAGAGAAACATGCCAAATTAAACACAAAAGTAGGCAAAACAACAACCTTGTGTTAGGCGTAGATTTTAAACAAGACTCTATCGATTTCGAGAGCGATGAAGTACAGATGCTTTTTCAACAGGAACAAAAAGAAATTGCGACTAAAGAAGGAGCCACAGCCAGATTGTTACCAATGTTATGTAGCGAATTTAAATTATTAATATGTTTTTTAAATTATTATTATTCAAATTGTTTATTTGTATTCATGTGTATTTTATCTAAAAAAAAAAGTATCTTAAGCTCTTAAGTTTTATTTAACTCATTTTGAGTGGGAATTGTAACAAAGGCGAGAGACGGTTGCGAGGACACACTGGTTTATGGCCTTTCCAACAATGAAGGTACTAGGGATGTATTGTCGCCTTTTAGCTAATGCTTGTGAAACGGAAAACGTCTTCTTGTCGCTTTGTTAACGTTACAGTTTGACTTACTTCAAGACAGTGGGGGGTGTACTAAGCTTAGATAATTGGATTCTCGTAAAGCTTAGTTTCGCTTGTTAGTTGGGGGGGTCCATTTTTTTTCTCACGTTATGTGTACAGATGTTTTTCGAACTACATTGTCAGATTTTCTGGTGTTTGATTCGTCATGGATGTGTCATTTTGCTCAGTTTAGATAACATAAAATTCCGGGATTGGTAAAATTTAATTTTATGATTTTTTGAAAGCCTATGAACTCACAGAGCGGAGAACCGAGTTCCTGTGCTTGCACCGCTAGAGATCATTCTGATTCTGATTTTCAAGAAAGTAAGGAGAAAAAGTGGGGGCTTGACCCTTGGGTCTTGCTTCTCGCGAGCCGCGTGAACAGCGGCAGAGGTATATTTTTCTCTCGGCTTTTAGCTGGCGAGAATTTCGTTGGTATAAGGCATAGAGTCGCAGAAGAATTTCGATTTCTCTTATCCCAAGAATTGTTCGGGCAGATTCTCTTGGTGATCCTGACATCCTGATGCGGTATTCCTTTACCGGCTTTGGACTTTCCTAATTAGATTTTGTTCCAAAGGTTCTCTACGCTTATGGGAGTTTGGGGCTTCCAGAATTAAGAGACTCGTGTGGGACCCTTCAAGGTGGCATTGCTGTTTATTCTGCCTGTGCCAGCTGCGTCGATTTTTTCATCATTCCCTGCTCTGGAATTTATTTATTTATTGTAAGGACAGCTTCAATGGTGTTTGCAACCAAGTCATCTTTAAAATTCGCGAACTTCGCCTCCATTAACGATATTTGTGAATAAAGACAGCAGGATAATGTGGTGCTCGAGTAAACTTGGACGCGGACGAACTGGGAGCTGCCAAATCACCTTATTAAATCAGTATACGAAGTATTCCGAGTAAAGTGAGCGTTGCAATGGACTTCACCCCGTGAGTGATTTTTTTTTATTTGTTTTACTTCAATAATTATCTTAATACTCAAGCAAGAGTCGTCATTTTATGTTTTGTTGAAATTTGAGCAATTACTTAATTAATTAATCGGTGTAAATTATCAGTGTTCTTAAAGTGAATTACCATGATAAATACTTAAAGTTAGAAGATGAAATGGGGAAAATACTAGTGTTACACTTATAATACATAAATTTGATAATGTTAATCTTAATTATCTAAGCTATTTTAGTATTATTGGTTTTTTCTTAGCTTTTGTCTGATCAGTTTCCTTATTTTTTATAATATATATCGGAAGTTAATAAATTGTGTTTAAAATTAATTGCGGTATTTTTTAGCTATTTTACTGGTCTGTCATGTCCCCTCCTTTCTTTTGCTTGAGTTTAATTGATATTCTTTACGGTTACTCACAACGCAAACCTAAAAGTTGTACTATACACTATTTGATTGCCTATACGATTATGCTTTTGATTTGATGATTTTTTTGTTAATTTATCCGGCCAGCCTCTTTAATTCCGTTTAAAATATAATTACAAACTTTTTTTTATTGATTTTTGCTTTTTTTTTTTTTGTTAATTTTGTCCGGCACCTTGCAGCAAAGTTTAAAGGTATTTAAACACCAAATAAAAATTTTCTCTTTAACACCAAAAGCAAAGTAAAGGGAAGGTGGAGGTAGCATCATCTGTCCACAGAAACAATAACAATATGAAAAATTAAGTTAATAGAATTTTAAAAGCGTTAGGGAGCACTGGCTTGGAATCAAAATCATTACCTAAACACGATAAATTTTTGTGAATGTAAAAAGCCTCAAGAAAATTCACCAAAGAAGAAGTTCTTTGGATAATTTTGGGAAAGTCAAAATTGTGATTAAATTTTGAACTATGATTAGCTCTCGACGATTTGTTGATTTCTACTTTTTGGACATGAGATTCCTGTTCTTTGATGTGGAACTCTAACTCTTTTTAGTTTGGCCAATATATCTGAAACCACATTACAACTGTGGCTCCTTCTTTTGTTGCAGAATTTCGTCGCTCCTGATGAAGAGAGGCCTGTAACTGTTCGCTTCTAAATCGATAGAATCTTATTTAAAACCTATACCAAACATACTGTTTGTTACTTTGATTAATTGTACATATTATCCAATAACGTTTTAACTGAAGTAAAACTGCCAGATAAATGATATAGTCGTCAAATAAGGTCAAAAATAGATTCTAAAAATTTTCAAGTGTTCGAAAATGCCGCCAAGTAAAGGATTATGTTACCAAATAGCTTGTTTTCGGTTTTAGTGAAGCATTTCAAATCAAGCAAGAACGCAATTTTAATTTTGGCTCAGATTTCAAATAGTTCTGTGTATTATGAGGATGATCGCAGACACAGGAGAAAAAATTTCTGCAGAATTATTTTTCTCTGATCCTTAAATAAAAAAAATCCCCCTGAAACATCTACACCAAACAAGCCTTTTTTGGGGGGGCCTATTTAAAATTGGCATGTTCTTTTTCCAGTGATTGCGGGATGCCCTTCCAGTATTAAATTTAATGATATAGACACGGTCACATAATTTCCAGAAATGTAATGAACCGTTCATAAATAAACTATCGCGTTAAAGCCATTACAAACAGTTCACAAACAAATTTTTTTACATTTTCTTAATACAAATTCTGGATTTTTGAATTGAAATTCTGCTGTTTGAAGTTATTTTCACTGCTGGATTGAAGGATGATTTTTTCTCAATCTTTAATGTTTCCGTTCGGTTAACGTTCTCAAAATAGCCGTGGACAAATTGGATCACAATCAAGTGGGGCCTGCTGCAAAAATTAATAAAAGCCTTTCAAAATAGAAAGCGCCCACCAGCGGCCAAGCGGTAAAGTCGTTGAACACTGGTAGTTAAAAATGGTAGTTGGTTAAAATGGTTAAACTGTAGTTAAAATGGTAGTTAAAATGGAACACTGGTAGTTGGTTCCAATGGTGAACGGGCTGCCTGCGTGAGCGTTCTCATAGTTTTCCCCATGTGTAAGCGTGTATTGAGCCATTTTAGAAAGTCCTCCATGAAGGCTTCCGTCCCCTTAGGCAGATAGCCCTCGAGTGCTTTGCTTATGTCAAGTCAACCAATCAAACCATCAGAATAAAAAACAGTTATACCAGACGTTTTGGACAATTTGGAAACGGGTAGAGAAGAATTTAAAAATTATGTATCTGTTGAGGTCAATGTTATCACTTCGGAGATGCCAATTGCCGAGGATATTGTAGTTGAAATTCAAGTTAAAGTAGACGAACAAAAAAATAATGAAAGGGACAATGATAGCGACGAATGTTAAGAATTCCAAGCTGAACTTCCCCACCGGTCCTCCGATATGCTCTTTGGCTTCTTTAGCTTCTGAGTGTGCAGAAAAAATTAAATCTTTTCTTGAAGCCAGGGGGTTGCAAATGACGATGTTGTTCAGACCATGAATCTTTTTTCGAAGAACACTAACACAAGAAAGAGACAATAAGGTAGTTCAAAGCAAATTAACCAACTTATTTTGTTCTGTGCAGAAATAAAAAAATAAATAAAAGAAATTTGAAAGCTTTCAGATTTTACATTACGCTCAAAGGGATTTTTTTTTAACCTTTTGTGTGTTACCTTTATTTATTAAATGTTCTTTGCACTTAAACCATAAAATTGAATTAAACAGCATATCGCAAATATTTTATTATAAAAATATTATCGCAAAAAATATTTTTGGAAAAGAAAAAAATTTAAAATTTCTAAAAATATTTAAAAAATTATTTTAAAATTTTTTATATCGATTCAAAATTCAAATTTCAAATTAGGCCTTTCAGATGCCCATATTCTATGGAAGATTATGTTATTCAAATTTTGATGGCTCTAGGTACCGTTGATTTATCACAATGGGAGAGACATACCTACATTTATGCAGATTTTTCATTATTTAATTTCGTTAAGTATAACACAGAGTGATAATATTTGGTGGCGACAATTTGAAAAGTGAACCGACATTTAAAGTTTTCAACGCAAAATGCGAAAACGAAATTAATAGCCCTTCTGTGCTAATGCCCTTTAATCTAATAAGTATAGTATGTAATATAGTTTTTATGATTTTTTTCACGAACCCGTTTTTAACAGGCACTTATCGCGGCTCCTTCCCGCTCATTTTAAACGAGTTCGATTGTATGTTGGAAATGTGTATTTTAGTGTTACGTATAATATCGAAAACCAAATATTTTACGCTTTGCCTATTTGGTTTGCCGAGTGACTAAAAGTAAAAAAACATTTTGCTTTCAAATCACAGACTTAACCAAAATTAAGTTCGTAATAAGCAAAAAATATATAAAAAGCAATTCGAAACTCAAATCTCTGTTTCGAGGTGTGCACCTTTATATAGAGGATTTATGTGCGCTCATAAGTTAGTAGTTATAGGTGCCGCCGTTTTTCTACAGTGCGAGGATCATACTTTCTTACTTCATTCCACATTCCATGTTCCCTCTCCATGTTTCATATTCAATGTTCCTTTCGATCTTCCCACAATTCATTGAATTTAATAAAGTTTCATGAAATATAAAAATTAGTTTCTTCAAAGGTAATCTCCACCTTTTTGAAAATGTTAACAATTATATTTAAAACTTTAAAAAAGCTCAGATTACTCCATCTTAAACCTTTTTGTATCAGTACAATTTTTTTATGCCAAATCTTTAGAATACAGTTCTGATGTTGCCATTCCAGCAAAGCATAACTCTGTTTTTTTTATTTAACTCTCAATTTCTTTTTTCATGTCGTCTAAAAAATCATCTGCATTTGAAATTCACAGAATCTACATATGTATAGGTTTCTTATTATTTAATCACTAGTTGAATTACTAGTTACTAACTAGTTAGCAACTAAATAACTAATTAGTATCCGACATTTCCCGGCTTTACGCGTAAGGAAGTTTTACTAAAGTTTACTTTATTTTAAAACTTTACTATCTTTTCTTCTTATTTTCCACTTCCGGCCAGAATTAAATGTGTTGTTTATGCAAATTGTACTTGCTAACGCCCAAGTATTTAAGTTGTGGCTTTTTGCCAAGAGTGAGAGAGAGGAAAAGTGAGCCGCTTTGCCATTGCATTCCGTACGAGTTTTCAACCAGTTGCTGCTTGCCTCTAAGGCCAGAGGTTTAGTCCTCTTGATATTTAAAACGTACTGTAGTTTCGGCAGTTTGCGTACCACATACGTAATCTTTTAATAGGCCAGTCTTAGTGTGAGGCATTTGTAAACTAATTCAAAGTTAGCTCCTTATTTAGAATTTTAGTTAGTAGTTTTATATTTTTACGTTCAGGCCACAAGTGGTTGGTCTCTGTATCCCGTAGTGCGGGAGCACCTGTAATCTTATAGAGAATAAAGTTTAAAGTCAACTCTACCTGCTGGTGTTGTCTATTCCACACACATATTTGAACATAGCTTGAGTAAGCTCCCTGTTCCTATTCAGGATACATCATGTTTCCAAAGCAGATAAAAAGACATACAAGTCATGACAGAGAAAGCACTTAAATTCTGCTTTGAGGGTTTTACAATGTTCCGGAAAGCTCTACACTGTTATTAAGGAGCTAACTAAACGGTGACTTCTAATGACTTTAGTAAGAACTGATACCTGTTTGTTATAGGTTGTCTTTTTTCGGAAAATCGCTATCCACTTTTGGTCAATTTATTCTCCGTTTTAGACATATTCCCCAAAACATTGATAGAGAGCGTACTTAAATGCTTAAAGTTCTACACAGTTTTAAAGAGTAAACACGCGTGGCGCAATCTAACGCTTTTATTAAGAATTGACAGCGGGAACGCAATAGTGGCGACGTGAACCTAGGTGGGTGACATGGTTTCAAAATTCAAAGTTGTGTATAACATCTATTTTTTGTAAAAAAACACTTATAAATTCTTTGCTTAGCATGTTTTCCACTGACAGCGGTAACGGAACAAATCGAAGTGAACCTAAGATAGCTGACGTGAGTGCAGCTTTCTAATATAAACGTCCTAAGTGTGGGCCCCACGAAGTTGTTTTTCGAAATCGTATTTAGAAAGTGATTTTTCTCCGATATGAAATAAGTTATCACACTTACTTTATATCACCGAGATTTCTGATCCAATTTGAAAAATAAATATCCTGCGTTTTGCGGAGTGACAGTACAATGTCTTTAAGCAGCTGAATTGTAAACCAAAAGTTCATCAAATTCGAACAAAATATATAAATAGTGTGGACCACGTGAGATGGTTTTTGAGAAATTTTATGCAGTGAAATTCCTCTGGTTTTAAGAGTCAAGTGTGCAATATTTCATCAAGACTGGAATAACACTCTAGATTTGTATGAATTAAAAGCACAAGAATACTCTTATTTATTTATATAGATAGACGTAACGCATAAAAATAAAGTGAAGGACTTACATTTCGCTCTCATTTCTTGGACATCAGGCGGTGGATCTTGATTGGCTCTGAATTCGTGTAGCCCGAAATCGGTAATCTTTAACATCCAGCGACTGTCAACGACGCAGTTGGATGATTTCAGGTTGCCATGAGACACAATCTCGCTCTCGTGAATGTATATCATGCCCTATTTTATGGAAAAGGAATAACCATTCATATAATGAAACTAGAACATTTGTAAGAAAAGAAAAGTCTGATATGGACATCACATGACTTCCTTGTAAGCCTACTAAATTATACACATTTTTCATTTATTTATTTCTCCATTTATTTTAAAATTTTGAAATTCAATATCCTGGAAAATTTTTGTCTCACAGGAGTCAAAACTTCTTGTACTTTTATCTTTTCAGAACGAGGATAAAACTTTGCCGATATAAGTATAGCAACCGGGAGATCGGATTAAAAATTAGATTTCGTTATTTATCCAAGATTAAATCTAAAAAAAAATTTAAATTGCCAAAGCATGAATATTTTCGTCATTTAAAACACTTCTGTAATTGGAAGTATATGGAGCATTCCATTTTATGGAGGTTATTTCGTTATTTATCCAAAATTAAATTTAAAGAAAATTTAAATTGCCAAAGCATGAATATTTTCGTCATTTAAAACACATCTGTAATTGGAAGTATATGGAGCATTCCATTTTATGGAGGTGGTGTCAAACAGACACCACATGCGTGCTCGCGGGCTAAAATAACCGTTGATTTCTCTGGTTATTATGAGCAGTGTATGGAGAAAGAAATTAAATGAGATTTCAGTCAGCAGTCTTATGCTTAGGCAGAAATGTGCCTTTGTAATAATAAGTTTCTAATTTAATAACAAGTAAAATTGTGCGGAGATCAGTATGAAGATTTGCTGCACCAGGGAACTTGTTAGGCCTTTTTCACGCTTTTGCTGAGCTCGTGGTTTAGCAATTTGTTCTTGAACTCTCTCCTGCTAACCCAACCTTTTTTTTTTTTTTTTTGTCATTTTAATTTTATTATTAAGCACCACTTCCTTTGCACTTACGCCACATAAAATTCAAGAGAAAAATCATAATATATTTAAAAGTAGCATATGTTTAGAATTCCCGATGAACTGTTTCCATACAATTGTTTTCTGCTTCCGCTCTATTATTTCTTTAAAACTAATACATGCGATGACATTGGGTAACTACGTCCTTTTATTTGAAAAATGATACGGACAAATAGTGAGGATCGAGGCTATTCGGGTGCAAAATATCTTTAAAATAATACGAAATTTTCAATTTTTTAAATTGAAAATAAAAACATAACAAGAAATTTGCATTTTTTTATTTAAAATAAAAACAAAATGTGTAGTTTATTGAGTGCCGATGTTTTTGAATAAAAACAGACAGTAATGTAAAGCGGATAATCTGATTTTTCCTAAAGGCTCTTAAAAATAATTGTGCCAGTGGGAAACGGTGGTTTTAATATTCTCTGTTATGTTATCTGTATGGGGTCACATAAATACCATCTAGCCAGAAATTCTATTGAGAAGTTGAGGGTAGGAGATCCTTTGATATATCTCCAAGGGATTTCTCTCTACTATGCCAAAACTAGGAGGGAGCTAAGCGAAGTTATACTGTCACCTACATGGTGCTGAAGGCATTGACTAATGACAGGGGATTGTTCATGATTAATTTGTGGAGCTGATATAGATTATTTTCAAATTAGGAAGATTAGTAGAATCAATTATTTAAATCGGAGAAATCAACATTATTTGAAACATTTTTTCTTGTATGAACATTATTTTCTAGAATAATATGTACAAGATAAGATCAGTTGTGCTCTTCTGTATGATTAGAGTTAACTTTCATTATCATGATTTGAAATTATTAGACACGGTGTCCCGTAAATGTTGCGACAAACTTCTGGGGGAGATAGGGCACATCATAAGAATTAAGAATTGCATAGAAATCCATGCCCAGAAACGTCAATGTATGCCGCCAGGGGCTGCTGTACAGAGGAGTGCTAGTGGAAAGTGAGGATTGCCTCTTTCGAGCGGTAATCACCGTATGAAGAGCATGGAAAGCGCAGAACTTGCAGACATGCACTTAGTGTATGACATAGCTGAGGGTAATGGACGAGCCGCTGCACGCATTTATCGGGACTCGACAAACAATCAACCAGACCACAGTTTCGTTGCATATCTGCATCAAAATTCGTGCGACTACGGGTCATCAAGAAATGACAAGACCAATGAGAGCAGGCTCACCCCATGTTTGGCTCCTGTCACTCTCTATGGCTGCTCTCAAGGCCTCATAGTCCAATGGTTGCTGCAGACCGCTGCGTCGTGCATCACTAAGAGACGTCCCTTGTTCTGAACTTCTGGAACCATTGCCTAGCTTTTTGTTCGTTAACGGCATCATCCCCAACGACTTGGTTCTGCTGCTGACAGGCCCATTTTAAAATCCTACCGCAAACAACTCCAAACGGGCGCCTTTGACACGTTCATTTCAATCAGTCGCTGTGAGTTATGTTTGAAGTTTTACCAAGTTCCTCTTTAAGCCGCGATTAGCACGCAGTAATTACGTGCTGTGTTCCGGCTGTTTAGATTTATATGCTTCTAAGAGCGTTGGAGGTAGAGAAATGCTTGAGTTGGGCGGTTTAGAAAGGAGTGTGACCAAAGTCACGTGAGTTCTGAGTTGACATCTGATTGGTGTTGAAGCATTCGCCAAAAAAGTAACATACTATTATACAAAATACGAGAAAAATATTAAATAACATGCAGAATAAACAACTGAAAAACAATGTTCTTGTTTAAATATAGATTATATACATAGTTTCAGGAAAGCTTAATATTTCAGGAAAAATATCTGAATAGCGGTGTGAACAGGTCACGTGGGAGGCCAGCCTCCCAAGTGCTCTGATGAATGCTGCTTCGTTTTGGACTTAAGAGTTCCAATAGTCACTAGATGGAATAGATAGAAATTACGTAGGAAAGTTCTGATTGCTATTCAGGATAAAAGCAGTAAATGGACAAAGATGTCTATCTTCGTCTAATATTTCATAATGAAATAGATTAAATAAATTCAGATGGCACAGCCTTTAGCTTTCTTGAAGAATTTGTTATTTGTTTTGCGTAAGAAGAAAGTAACCAGTGGCTGGATTTTTAAGTCCTTGTGGAGTACTTCGTTCCTCAGAAAGTAATGAGCACTAGTTATCAGTCTTACGAAACGATTTTGCACAACCTGAAGCTTATTCCAGTCAGTCTTTGACCCAGTAGTCCAGGCTGGTGAGGCATACGTCATGATAGGACGAATAGTGAAAGATAGATTAATCTCTTTTTGGGGAGGTCAAGTTTTGAGAAACATCCTAACATAGGATATAAGCATTTCATTACATAGATGGCTTTATTTATCATACTATTAATGTGGTTAGTCCATGTCATTTTACTATTCAAGGTAACTCCTAAGTACTTAGCATGCTTTACAACAGGTATGGATTATGTTTGAAGTCCTCCTCTGTGGAACGGTGTTTGCTACACCTGGGTGCCTGAGCACTAGGCTTAGTATGTTTGAAGTACCTATGCAACGCGCTTTTATACACTTGGTCAATGTCCGGATTCTCATCATAACCACTTCATCACCAGGTTTGGCGTATTTTTATGTTGGTGTTCACTCTTCCAATGTCATATCAGAAACGGGAAGAACGCTTTTGGTTACCTTGTATATTCTATAATATTTTTATGATATTAACGAATTTGGCAATTCCAATGAGTATTTTCTATGTTTTCATATACAAACGCGTAGGAAATTTGACAACAAAATCAGCATAAAAACATTAACCAGCCTCTACAGCAATTACTGTTCTTACCTTTACTAAATCAGCAACAAGTGATGCAACGAACATGGTATCCAAATGGAGGTCTGTATTCTTCAGTACATCCTAGGAATGAATAAATTTGTTATTAACGTAATAAATATTGCAAAGACATAGACACTGGGAAGAATTAGTTTTAATTTATTGAGAGCAATAAAGAAAAATTTTAAGATTTTGAATGAATGTGTGAGAAGCAGTGATCCATAACGAGCGCAAGAGGAAAATGCTCGGTTATAGGTACTTTCGTCTATATTGCAGCTTTATTTCAATCACGTATTTCAAGTAAAATATGTCGTCATATTCCAATAATTTCTCCAAATTAGCTCTAAAATCCGAATGAAAATGAACAGTGATTAAAATGTCAAAACGTTCCGTAACGAAAACCTTTCTACAGATATGCCTGTGAAATTTTAACAGATATTTACGATAAGATAAAGATTTGATATTAAGATAAACGCGGGAGGAACTTCAAGTCGAAGGAAGAGGTTTCCAGGACATTGAAATGAAAGGAGAGAGAAAACATATTTTGGCGTTTATTTATGACCATTTGAGAGATGAAGATTTAACACCATTTGAAAGATAAAGATTTATGACCACATGAGATATAAAGATTAATGACCAGATAAAAGATAAAGATTTACCACCACTTGAAAGATAAAGATTTATGACCAAATGAGAGATAAAGATTAATGACCAATTGAAAGCTAAGGATTTACCACTAATTGAAAGATAAAGATTTATGACCAAATAAGAGATAAAGATTTATGACTAATTGAAAGATAAAGATTTATAACCAACTGTTAAGATAAAGATTTATTACAAATGAAAAGTAAATATTTTTTAAGATCTAATTCTTATAACACCTGCCTTTCACTAAAAGCAACTCCAGAGAATTATACTCCTTTCCGGTCGGAATGATGACATATGTAAAGGAATGCGTCAGTTGGATGGGTAATCTCGGATACTAACGCACGATTCATGTTGTTCTGCGTGTTTTCCACTAAACTGTTAAGAGGCTTTTGGAGAATATTGTCCCCTTCATTACAGACGACGATGATTTTGAGTTCTTGCGCAGTCCACGGAGTATGATTTCTTTGTGTAACACGTCTACGGAAAACATCCAGTGTTCTGTGGCATGCCCTGCACTTGCATTTTCGTTCATGAACAAAAATTCTGGACCGCTTAAAAGACGAACACGACCCAGTAGAAACTCGATGCATAATATCTGGGATGTAAGAGTACCTGAATCAAAGATAAAAAAGGGGTGCGCTGCGGTTGTACATAATGTTCCCCCTCTTCCACATGCCTCAGCCATAACGATTTTCTTCATGGACATTTTGTTGCATATCAGCTAGTATGACACAGGAGGAAATGTTTCATCACTAACAAAATGTATATAAAGCTGGTCGTCACAACTGAGGTGTCTATGCCCAATGGCCCAATGACCTGGGAATCATGCCCAAAGGCAGAACACAGTTTAGCATGTTTGATGAAGGTAGCAACTGCATCCCAGGGCTGCTGCATCGAGAACCTTCTGAACCATTGAACCATGCTCGTCGTTTCGGTGGTGCGATGGTCTACATGTCCTGTTCATGAATGACAATGCACATCCACAAAGCGTAGTTGAATTGTCTGACGCTCTCTAAAGGAAAGGTGTTGAATGAATGGAATGGGATGATAATTCGTCAACCTTGTACAAAATAACAGAGAACGTAAGGAAGTAAGAAATTCCTTACATTCTCCTCCACTTAAAAGACATTTAAAAGGTAAGGGAATGCAGAAGATTCAGTATCGATATATAGAGAGTGACGATCTATCATCCAGTTTATTTTAGTCGGTCGCAAATATACTACAAGACTATTTTGAATTTTTTGAAACAACAAACGTGATAAATCAACGAAGCCCTCAGCGGAATTCGAACTCAGGATCTTCCAACTGTTAGCCGTATGTGCTATTACTTACACTACGAAGTCATTCATTGGAGAAGGGAAAAATTCTCTGTGAACCACCAGTTAAAAAAGCTACAAATGCCTACTTCGATTTGTGAAGCACTCCATAACTACATTTCAATACACCTTTTGTTGTCACAAACAAGTAAGCATTTCTAATAAAGAACTGCATATGGCAATACACTGAACTGCCAATTAACGCTCACAGCCAGCGGTAAAGTCTCTGAACACTGATAGTTCGACCTCGGTCCTTTCCGCCTTTTTACGATTCAGCTCAGCATTAATCCCTTTGTTTACAACTAACACTGAGGATTCTAATGACTTTCCAACTTTCCTTTCGTTTGGTGAATTTTCCTTTAACATCTGACCTTTTCAATATTCGAAACATTCGGTCTTTTCCTTGGATATGCATTTGGAACATGTTTCCACTTTGAGCCACACTTCAACGCTTTCCTCTTTTCTTGTTGACGGTGTTACCTGTCGTAGCTTTAGATATCGAAAGACTAACACTAATAACTAGATACAAATAATTTTTGTCATAAAGAGCACAAACATAGCCTTCCATCCATTGCTTCTTTAAAAGCACCATTTTGCATGAAAACAAAGCTGTCAAATAGCCGACGATAATTTATACTTTCAAAAATATAGCTGCAGTCAAAAAATTTTCAAGTAGACGACTCCAAACAAAGAAAAATCATCTCAAAATGTGCGGACAACTTCTGCGTTTTAAAGCAGTTAAATCTGGAGAAATAAGCTCGCGTGGTGACAATTTAGTTTTACGCTGATTTTTTTGTTAATAATTTATCATAGTTATATGAGCATTATTGCATTTGAGATATCATTACAGTACTATGATTCTATTTTGAGACATTATTATTCATTGTTTTGCATCGCATTTTGATTCAAGAAAGATATGTTTTTAATTTAAAACTAGCCAAGAACACCAGTCTTTAAGGTATACTTACTTGAAGACTACCACGCGCACAATAAAGAGTTAATATACAAATGTTAGGATGGTCAACACAAGCTCCTATGAATGGGTTGATATTCTCATGCCTCATTTCTCTGATCTGAAAAGAAAAGGAATGTAAGATATTATACGTGTAAAGAATAAAGGAAGAAAGAAAGGGTGCAGATTTTAACGGTGCATCAGAGGATAAGGTATTTTATACTCTCCCTGAGCATCACAAGTTTCCAAACTTTTCTCATTGCAGCTTTATTATTAACCATCGTTTTCTTCGCAATTACATGACATAAATTCAACTGCAAAAGCACAAAATAAAACAGCCTAACTTTAGAATTCCTGACAGAGTGTTACGGGTTGCCATACTTTTTACTTCCTTACACGAAGTAAAAAGGAAGTATTGTAATAGCGAAAAGTTTCAGGCAGCATATTTCAACGAAAATATCCATTTTGATAATAATAATGGTAACTATCGAATGCAATTTAACGATGTTTTTGCCTGACATCTGTACGTAAGGACAGAATAAAAGACTTTTCCTCCAAAAAAATTATGAAACTGCTTTAAAATGAATTCTGAAGAGAATTTTTCGTGGCGTCTGTATGAACGTACGTACGTATCTCGCATAACTCAAAAACGAGTAGCCTCAGAAAGTTGAAATTTTGTATATAGGACTGCTATAACATGTAGATGTGCATCTCGTACTTTGGTTGCAATCGGCCGCACCAAAAGTATATAAATATATTTATATATATATCCACTCTGTTACCCGGCTCAGTGATCTCAGTTTCTTTACTCTTATATGTTTGTAAATTGTGCATTTTTTGCTTTAAAAATGATTGAATTATGTTGTTCTTATCTTACGGTTAAGATTTTTATGTCTTTAGTAAATCTGTATACAATATTTTTAGAATTATCAACAATTTTAAAGTTGTTTAAGTGCCGCTAAACTTAATAATTATTTTGATGGCAGCCATTGCTTGTTTACATTTGAAACAACAGACTAGTGGATTTGTTGCCAATCTAGAGAAACGTTGCTTCGCAACAACAAAGCTAACGCCTTCATTTATTATTGCGAATTAAATCATGTTTAATCCTTTCTGAAATTTTTCGAGGAAATAAGTGTTTATGATTTACTTCGTAATTTTCAATACAGATATTTTGAGTTTTTATGTATTTTTGCTTTGTCGCGAAGTGAGAACTGAATTAATTGAATGAGAAATACTCAATCGTCTGTGAAAAACTGTTTCTTTTTTGTTTTGTTTGCTTAATTTCTTTTATACATCGTTCTAGCTTTATTATAGTATTTGAATAGAACATGTGGCAACGATTAGATAATTCTATTTTTTAAATGATATAAATTTTGTGCATTATGAGTTATAATATGAACGAAATATAATACTGTTAAGTGGATCTAGCGCCAGAGTATCGCTATGGTAAAGAAATACTAGAGTGAATTTTAAAGAATGCATTTATTCTATTGTGGTTTATGCGCTGTCGGCGAAGTAGATTTAATTCAATCCAATAAGTTTAAAAGAAAGGCAAGAAAAAATGCATATAATTTAATATTCCGTACAAGGAAGTCATGTGGTGTACGCATCAGATTTTTTTATATTTGCTATATTAGTTGTTTGAAAACTAGCCGCCTGAAAGGACTATCATAAAAAGGAAAAAAAAGTGAATAATGGTTTTAATGAGACCAGCTAATATAATTTCCTAAAAATATTATATATATTTCATAAAAGTATTTATATATATTTCATAAAAATATTTATATTAAATATTTAATATTTAATTTTTAATTAGATATCTCGTGATTTAAATGCATTTTCATTCAAATTTATCAGATTAAAAGGTATTTCCGAAAAAAAAAATAAAATAAAAACTGCGTTTATAGCTTCTCAATCCCTTGGTTTGCTAATCACTAAAAGAAGGATTAAATTTGAAAGTTTCCAATAGCCGAATTTATGGAGTAAAATTGAAAGATCTTACATTTTTCAAAATGGTAACAGTCTGGCTCGCCGGAAATAAAAGTCTTAAAACGTTGCCACATCTCGCTTCCCAATTGCTGAGTTTGTTAAACAAAAATTTCAAATAACTTAACACCTTTGTTGAATCTGAGTTAAAATAACACGTCGAAAAACGATTATTGGAGGGTTAAGGCAACAAGAGTGACCGTAATATTCATAAATTTACAAGACTAGTTTCCAAAGTTTAAAAATTGAACTCTCTTTTTCATTTGCGGAAGTGCAAATAACAAAAGAGAAGCCTGTCTTCATGCGATAACAACGAAAGGAAGGACGTTAAGCTACTGGCACTATCTATCAATGAAAAAGTGTAAACAACTAAGAAATAATCTTCTTAAAAGCTGAAGGTAAAGACGGACTGGAATCCAGAACGTTAATTAGAACTGAAACACTTTCATGAATGTGAAACGCGTCTACAAAGGTCTTTTTAAGGAAATTATTCTTCTTCTAATGTTATATATTTAAACCTTCGAAACTAATCCTACAGATGTATGAATAATTTGCTGATTCTTTTTGCCTTAGCATCTCTTTGTTAATTAAAAGATATTGTTTCAGGAAATCTATGTCTCAAATATGCAACAAACCTGTATCATTTCTTTCCTGAGGCATCTTGTGAGATCTATGCTTTTCTTGTACACATGATAAATGTATACGGCATTACCTTTGTAGAAACCGACTTTAGATTGCGTTCTTCCAGTTGCCAAGTCTTCGAATTTCGCAACCGAATCATCTTGCCCATTTTCAACTTCCTAGAAAGAGAAATACCTTTATTCACGATTTAATATAGTTCTTTAAGATGTTCTTATCCATTAAAAATAACTTTACTTCATGCTTTCTTTTCATTCACTGGAGTGTGAAAGATCTGATAATTTAAAAATAATCCTTGTGATGTTAATAGGTATACAGTAGAGTTGCACGATCTGCTCTGAATGTGATTCAAAGAACCGATTCACTTTACTGAGAGAATGAAGAATTTTGATTCCAGAAAGCAGAGAGGTTGCACTTTTACAGTGCACGGATTGCTCTTGCTGGAAACATGCCAAGAACAGAGATGTGCTATTCGTTCATGAATTGATTCATTTTATTGAGCCAACGCCTGATTTGCCAGCAACGAGCGGAGGTCTTGTTGGAAGCGTGCCAGAAAATTCGATTCCTATTTTAGGTGATAAAAGAATGCTAATTCTAATGTTAAAAACGATTTTAATTTTCATCATTTCCCAATTTTTTGAAATAAAAAAATTGTATTCTAGAGTTTTATTGTTAATTCTGTGTGGAAAGCATGCATAAGGGAATCTGAAAACTGCAGTTGAAACTGCAGCCAAAACTAAAGTTGAAACTGTAGTTAAAACTACAGTTCTGTGTGTTATAGCTTTATTGAGTCGGTCCTTCCGATCCCACTGCTTGTTCCATTTATTTCACTATTTGCTCCAACTAGGATAATCGTTCCCGATTCCCTTGATTGTTTGATTTCCCCCCTCGCTCATCACTCTTAATTCACTCGTTTATTAATTATTAATCGTTTCCGGAGTTTTTAATCAAGTTTATTGTTAGTTTGCGGTAACTCGTAGGAAAGAACCGATTCATTTCAATTAATGAACGTTTCTGATACGATCCCATAAAACAGAGGTTTTGCCCTATCTAGTGTGTAAGGATCCTAAGTTTTACTAACGTTTATTTTATTTTAAAACTGTACTATCACTTCTTATTTTCTACTTCCGGCCAAAATTAAATGCTTTAACTTGTTTATGCAAATTGTCTTGCTAACGCCGAAGTATTTAAGTTGTGGCTTTTTGCCAAGAGTTAGGGTGAGAGAAAGATATTTAGGAAGCAAGCCGCTTGCCACTGCAGTTCTACGAGTTTTTACTCCGTTGCTGGTTGCCTTTAAGGCCAGAGGTTTAGCCCTCTTGATATTTGAAAACGTATTGTAGTTTCAGCAGCTCGGCATACTACATACGTACCCTTTTAAATAAAAGCCAGTCTTAGTACTAGGCATTTGTATACTAATTCAAAGTTAGCTTTTAGTTAGAGTTTTAGTTAGTAGTTTTATATTCTTACGTTCAGACCACAAGTGGTTGGTCTCTGTATCCCGAAGTTCGGGAGTACTTGTAAAAGTATAGAAAATAAAGGGTTCGTATACCCTTCCTGCTTGTATCGTCTGTTACACACAAATCTTGAACATAGCTTGAGTAAGCTCCTTCTTCCTATTCAGGACACATCATGTTCCCGAAGCAAATCAAGAGAAGCAAAAGTCCTGACAAGTAGTTAAGCTGAAGACTTTTCAACATATTCGTCGGAATTTCATCATTCCAACTATTCGCAATAATGATCCTGGCCCATGAACAGGAAAACACTACCAAAACATTTTCTTAAAGGAATATTTTAAACACTGATCGAAATGTTTAGGAGACAGTTCTTCGTTGTTTGATCTCCCAACGTAGCTAGATCTCTAGCCTTGAGTAGCGAAGTGGGTTTCATCCGAAAATGATACTTTTTTCCCTCCATTTTTCATATTTTCTTGCTCACGATAGTCTCATTTTCATCCTGAAAGATGGAGACCCATACGACCAGATTCTAGTATCCTCTGAAGAACACTGGAGTCATCCTTGGCACTAAGTTTTACGCTTTCTCCCACACTTTCGTTTCCGCTGGTGGTATAAACTACTTGTCCCATTGAACAGTTTAATAATTTTGTTAACAGCATCCAAACCTACATTATACACTTTAGAAATGTTCCTCTGTGCCATAGATGAGTTTTAGCTTAATCCCTGCATCTTTATTCTTTTCTTTGGCGTTAGGTCTATCATTTATAACCTGTAATACAGCTTTTTCAACATGTAATACAGAACTAATATAGCTTAAAAAATTATTACCTCAAGAGAACAACACTAAATCACATAAAAGTAATACAGGTAAAAGTTTATATTTGGGTGCCCCTTGTTGTTTTGGCGATTCTTTTTTGATGCCAAGGTCGGCGCCAGGAAAGCACAATTTCAAGATGACCGCTACACAAAACCAAAATTAGAAGTCAAAGAATTGGATAAACTCGATGTGCTTGTACACATCGATCTATTTTCACTTAAAAAAAACATCAGAGAATTGCACAAAATAGGTATTGTGCACTGCTTTAACTTTGTTCATGTACACATCGATCCATTTTCACCTCAAAAAAATCAGGAAGCTAAAATAAGGTTAAATTATCTCGGTAACCAAAAATGGGGTTTCATCGCCAAAACTGAACAAAATTTGTCGCTAAATTCTACGCTAGAGCCATAATACAGTACAAAACAGTAAACAGGTGAGCGCTGGAAATCAGGTTTGCCAAACTTAGGAAATCAAATTATGTGAAAATTCCCTCTTGTTCACATTAATTTGCACATCAATACATGCGACCAAATATAAGTGTATAAGAATTTATTTAGTTTTACTAACCAGTTTTTTATGTCAATTTGCTTTACTATCTTTCTCGTTTTCAGTTTATCTGCGGTAGAAAGGAGATAGTTTTTAAAGGAAGGTTTCAGCGGGTAGAAATCAGAGCGTGTTCTGCCTGCTGAAGGCCACGTTTACTAATCGATTCTTTTGAACAGGATATCTGCAGCGTTGCGTTATCCTTGTCTTTAGGATTATCACGCTGATATGAGGTCAGAGCACACTTACGGGTTTCTCTCTCTGTGTAGCCGTTGAGCAACTAACTAGCAGAACTCCTAACTAGCAGATCATATAAACCAAGCGTAATTTTTATTTCCCTCTGGCAATATCCAGTTATTGCTAAAGATACTTCAGTTTGTTTTTACATTTTGAATAAGGAAGTTTCATTTCGAACAATCAAAGGAAAAAGTAAGTGTGAGACATAAAGTATCAATATACTGACGTTAAAATTATTATTGAATCTCTGTAAATCTCCATCGTGGTCAGCCCTTAAAAGGATCAAATCCTTCATCTCCACTTTCCACAGCAGGCAGGCCAGTTTGTGCTCGTAACTGTAATGCCTGAAAAATAAGAAATTTCTACTTGTATTTAACGTTATGCTCTACATAGCTAATAGCATGAACAAGAATACAAATTAAACAAGTATTAACCGTAACAATAATATAAACACATGTAATGTTTTTAATTATATTTTTTTAAATGCAATTGTAGAGTAATCAGGTTATTTTGAAACATGAGTTGCGAAAAATGTGCAATGCCCTAGCCGGGACTCGAACCAGGAATTCTCGAATACGCGCCGAGTGTGTTACCGTTACACTATGAAGGCATGCTGAACGGAGGAAGAAAATAACTAATATACTAAAAAATAACTTATATACTATAAGAAAATAACTTATATACTCTTGTAAAAAGTAAAAAAAATATTTTTTTCCCTTGTTACAAGAGTCTTTTTCATATGTGACTGCTTAGTTGCATATGAAGAGGACTCTTGTGCATCATATGAACAAGGCTTTAGGCTCATATGAACAAGACTTTATGTTTCATATGAACAAGACATATGAGTCACAAGGACTTCGTTCATATGAGGTCCACCAGCGGCCGAGCGATAAAGTTGCGAACACTGTAATTCGATCCAGCGAAAGGACGGCGGGATGGAGTTTTCCAAATGTGTAAAGTGTATACCAGCCAGTTTGCCTTAGAAAGTTCTCCACGAGGCATCCCTTCCCTTGGGTAGATGGCCAAGTGCTTTGCCGTAATAAAAAAAGGCTAAACCTTGTTTATATGAGAGAGAAACATCATGCGAGGAAGATAAGTTACTTGAAGATCTGAGGTTGCTAACGATATTATTGGACAAGTTTAACTAAAATTGTTATTTAAAATAATGTCATTTTAATTCAAAATTATCAAAAGAAATTTTAATGGAGCTAATGCAATCATTCCTTATAAATAACATTTCTATGCAACTGTTTTATGAACATCCTGAGATTTTATTTTTAGTTACGAATTACTAATTGAATTATAACTAAATTTTAAATCATAAAGTGAATTTTAAAGAGTTTTTGTTTCATTATCTCCTGGTTATAAATAAATTATGTTCGCTATTCGAGTGCGAAAGTTTCATGCATTTCAGAAAGTCAGATTGTAGAATCCATTACCGTTTCCGAAGAAGGAAAGATAGAAAACCAGCGGTTATCTTTTCTGAGACTCTGACTCCGGACCTTCCGATTGCTGACCGGACGTGATTTCAATTACACTACAAAATTTCGTTGTAAGGAAGGAGAAAATTCTCTACATTCTTCCCCACTTAAAGAGTTACAGGGTAGGAGGGAGTCTAGTAGCTAAATCGAGATATTGACGAATTATCGTTCTCTGCATATTATTTAAGAAGCATTTTTTGTAATTTTTGCAGCAAGATAAGACATTCAATTATGATCTCGGAAGGATTTGGGTTCTAAACAGAAGGAATTCACCGTGAGGGATTTAATAGTTTCAGGAGGAACGTGATCGTCATTTTATTTAGTTGTTAAGTATTAAGATTATGAATATAAAAAACTACTTTTGTTCAAATTTTGGTATTTATCCATTCTTTTTGTGGCTTAGCTATAAAACATGTTAAAAAAATAATTTAAATCTGAAAAATAAATATACCTGTACTTTCGATTATTCTCTAACGCCAGGGAAACACGTCGTGGATAACTGGAAAACAGGAATAACCCAGACTATCAATTTTCATGCATATTGTGTGTGTGTGTATTTCTTGAAAAAATCAGTAATTTTACTTTATTTTTGAGAACATTTAAATGTTTGTCGAAATTCACTGGGTATTTTTCGAAGTGCTATTTTATTATCGTATTCGAATACCCTTTGTCGTGGAAGTTCCTTAAAGTTTCAACAGACGTCACTGTCGTCCCGGGAATAATGTGTTTGTCAGTATCTCTTGTATTTTCGGTATCATTCGCTGCCCCTTCTGTTCTAATGCCATTTTGAAACGATATCAGCTTCATTCAAGCACTGCAAGACGGGCTCGGTCGAATGGCCATCGAACCATTCTTCGATGTTTTCTCGATCGGCATTTTCGAAGAATTTTACGTTTTAAATTTTTTTGCATTGCAACTTCATTTATTGCCTAGATGGCTTTACACATACATAAATATCCAATTTGCATGCTAAGAAGAATATTTCTCCACGATCGAACTTGCGCGTGTTTATTTTTTACACACTCTCGCGCACAGTGTTAAACATGCACGGGTAATCCGATAACTGGAATGCCGACAGCATGTACTTTTTTTCGAGTTTTGGAAAGATGTTTTCCCCGACGGCGAATTCTATCCGTTTATAGGCGTTGGTCACTACTAAGGCCGGTAGCCGGTAGTCTCTTTGTCATTGAGACACCTGGTAGGTGGACCACCGTTGCCTCCTATGAAGGGAAGGACAAAATACATACATGCCTTCTTTGGAATTCGAACCCAGACCAACCGGGACGGAAGTCAGAGTCACTAACCACTTTCACCTTTGGGCAGTTTTGGAAAGGGTGTTTGGTTTATTTAATCACAAAACACTCAAGGGCTATCTGCCTAGGGAGAGAAAGGACGTAACGTCTGAGGGTAACTGGCTCGTTTACACGTTACACATGGAGAAAACCACGAAAACGCTCAGTCCGTTCGTCGAGATTCGAAGCCCAGATCGAACTACAAGTTCTTAGTGATTTTACCGCTTTCGGCTGTTGGTGATCTTTGGAAAGGAGGGAGAAATGTTCTTCTAACGATAGCGAGAGGACTGCTTGGAGCAAAATGGGCTGAGAACTACTTATCTAAACCTCTTGACAGCCAGACAGACGTACTTCCAATTATAAAGGCACGTAGTGAAAAACGATAAAAATACTCGTTAGCTATACTAGTAGTTAGCTTTATATTGTAGAGACATTAGGTATTTTTTGAAAGCAGACAAGATGAAAAAGAGCAAACGCCTTCTCTGGGAATCGAACCACGGACCTCTGGAATACCGGTCCAGCGTGCTACCGTTACACCACGAAGTCACGCTAGGGAAGTGGGAGAAATACCTTATATTATAAAATTTGAAATGGTCAGTTTCAATTGTCCATTTCACCTGAAATGAAACTTGTGTCGTCATGATTCTTTCTTTATGCGAATTTTACGGCAAGCGTCCTTCTTTAAAAGTAGGATTATCATTACCGTTATCATGATAACGGCCCCGATCCTCCTAGCCCGCATAAGCCGGCCGTATGATCAAAAAATGTGACTGGCGAGAAAAAAACAAATAGATAAGAAAAAACAAATAAAGTCCGAAATCTCAGTACCGAATTCCAATTCTGTCTTTGTTCGTATTTATAATTTTCATTATTGTCCATGCAAAATCTTTCAAATTTGAATAGTTCCTTTTAAAATCTTCCTCAAAATTCTTTCTATATTTCTCTCTTGCACTCCGGGTAAGCGAACATTCAATCACGAAGTGCCTGGCGTCCCCAAACTTGTCACATATTAAGCATTTATCATATTTGTGTGGATGGAACCGATTAAAATACGCCTGGAAAAGCCCATGATTAGTCAGTACCTGACTAATACCAATATTATTTATAATATTCATCTTCTTGTTTAACTTTATAGTTTTCATTAACGCTTTTTTCTTATTAGACGACTCCCAGCAAAAATTCCATTCTGCATAAATCCAGTTTTTCATTTCAACAATGGTCTTATTTCTTGAATCTTGGATATCAAAATTATCGTTTCCATCCCCAAGTGCCGCCATTTTAGCAAGGATGTAATCTTAACAGCCAGTCCCGTGGATTTTGTCCCGGAATACTACCTTGAGCTGCAGAAGTTGTTGGTAGAGCATTTAGAATTAACGAAGTTTTGGTTCTGTTCAGCAAGTGCCAAAAAGTTAACCACAATTGACGCCGCTTAATGTGATCACGTTTGTCCATGAATATTAAACGAATGATAACATTAGACAAGGAGAAAAATATCCTTCAATTCAGAACTAAAAATTGATTACTTTAATATATACTATATATATATATAAAACTAGAAATAAATAAATACTTATTTCACAGCACAGTAAACTGCGAAAACATTCCTTACTTAGTGAATTATCCAGAAGCGTTATGCTAAAGTTTATTCATGAATATGTGTAATATTTATAATTTTTAATAATCGGAAGGCGTTGCTTTTACCAGATTTTATAGGCAATTCGCCGATTTCATGTTTGCTTCGTTAGGAAGTACATTACTTGATGTGGTTAGACTTGCTTCAGAAATTCCTGGCAAAAATATCTTCTGTCATCATCTTCAATGTGAAGAATAAAGACTTGCATCTGATGGTTCTTAAAATTAGCAGATTTATTAGCTACTGCCAAAAAAAAAAAAAAAAAAAAAAAGGGTCGCTTTTTTGCTCAATTTTAAATGGTTGACTAAAATAAAAACCAAATAGACTGTTGAGTTCAGCCTTTCTTGGAGATATTTTTGACGCATTTGGCAATTTGTAAAATTTATGCTGATCTTATTTGGAAGATTTACTTCCCTTTGAAAAATTTGTTCTAGAACAGTTTATTCTTCGGCATCTCGAAAACAATATTTCAATCACAACATTACCCGCGGATACAATTAAGTGGCCTCTAGTAATTCACATTTTTAATGGGTTTTTGTCGCTGAATCAGGTCTTAACGTTAACATTTTAACAAGTAGCTGCTATTTACAACTGCAATAAGTGTCTGCACAGCTACAAAAAGTATCTTCTATTGGTCATAACGTTAACATTTTAATAAGTAGCTGTTGTTACATAAGTAGCATATACAACTGCAATAAGTGTCTGCACAGTAAAAATAACGAGCTGTTATTGGTCATAGCTGTTATTGGTTGACAGTTGCTGTTGCTACATAAGTAGAATACTAGTTCTGCAATAAGTGTCTGCATAGTTATGAGAAGCTGTTATTGGTCACAACATCAACATTTTAACAAGTAGCTTTTGTTACATAAGTAGCAAATACATCTACAAAACGTATTTGCACAGTTTCAATAAGTAGCTGTTATTGGTCATAATGTTAACATTTTAGTAAGTAGCTGTTGTTACATAACTAGCATATGCAGCTGCAAGAAGTGTCTACACAATGACAATAGCTGTTATTGGCCATGACGTTAACATTTTAATAAGTAGAATATACAGCTGCGATAAGTGATTGCACAGTTACAATAAGTAGCTGTTATTGGTCATAACGAAAACATTTTAATAAGTAGCTGTTATTGGTTTTAATAAGTAGCTGTTGTTACATAAGTAAAATATACAGCTGCAATAAGTGTCTGTACAATTACAATAAATAGCTGTTATTGGTGATAACGTTAGCATAAGGACAAAATGGGTTTTGCAGTGCATCGCTCTTCTGAAACATAAATAGATTTTTCTATTTAATAAATGATATAATCCTTTTTAATACATGTGTATAAGAACATGTAATTATAAAATATAAAATCTTAAAAGTGGCATTACTATAAAAATAATCTTGATACTTATGAAAACTAGAAATACAATCGTAAGCTTTTTACCGGAAGATGAAAATCCCAGCTATCAGAGTCACAAAGCAACATACTCCATAGATGATAATCATACTCCATTCTGAGGGAAAAAAGAAAGGGAAAGCCTTTTAATTATTAATACGAGAAAAAAACATGAAACAATGTCAATTATTGACAGTTGACAATAATTATTGTTAATTTATAATACAAAAGATAAATATGTATTAATTAATAACATCAAGAAGAAAAATACGAATAAATGTTACTTATTAACATCAGGAATAATTGTTAATTATTAATATACCGAAGAAGAATATGAATAAATGCTAATTATCATGAAGAAGACCATGAATCAAGTTCTGATAATTATAAATATCAGAACAGACGTAATGTGACTAAATGCTAATTAGTAATACCAGGAAGGAGATGAATAAGTGCTTATTGTTAATATTAATATATGTTCATTATTAACATCAAGACGAAGATGAAGAAACATATGTAAGATATTTTCTTCCTCTTTTCAGGTATCTTCGTGGTGTAACTGGAAGCACGCCCGACGCGTAATCGGGAGGTCCGGAGTTGGAATCCTGGCAATGCCACTGCACGTTTTTTTCATCTCCTGCATCAAGGAACCTAATGACTCTAAAAATGTTAGTTATTATCTAGAGACATTAGGTAATTTTTGGAAGCAGAAGAGATGAAAAATTAGCATTAGATAGAAAAATTAGGAAGGCACGCTACGCAGACGACAGAACTACCTCACCTACTCCCCCTTTTAAAGGGTGACTGGGGTATTTAGGGAACCCAATCGCCAAATCCTGGGTGTGGAGAGTCATCATCCACAACCTTTTTAGTTCGGGCGCCACTGTAGAGACATTAGGTAATTTTTGGAAGCAGAAGAGATGAAAAATTAGCAACGCTGTCGCCGGGAATCGAACCACGGACCTCTGATACACCTGCTCAGTGTGCTGACCACTACACCACGAAGGCACGCTAGGAAGGCGGGAGAACTACCTTACAATTATAACAAGCAATACGAAAGAATAATGATTATTAATATATCAAGAAGACGAAGAATAATTTTGAATGATAGATAGAAAGAAAAAGAAGATGAAGAAGTGTTAATTATTAATATCATGTGGAATATAAATGTGAGAAGCATAGCCAGTGAGAAATAGTTGGGACTTCTAAACCTTGGTTCCTGGAATTGACACGCCTGCTGATTCTTCAGGCCATCCACTCTAAATTCTGGAGGATATACCTAAGCTAAACAAACTGGATCTTTGCTGGTGACCCTTGTAACTGCTGCAAAAATCTGTGTCTCACCAGAGAGGGACAGATAGCTATTTAAAACAGCTTAGTTTGGTTTGATTGAATTATGACAAAGCAGTCTAAGGCTATTTGCCTTAACGACGGGATGCTTTCGTTGAGGATTTTCTAAGGAAAGTTGGCTCGTATACACGCTACACCCGCGGAAAACCACAGAAACGCCTAGGCAGCCAGTTCATTTACCGGGATTAGAACCATGGACCGAATTACCAGGGTTGAGCGACTTCCCCGCTCGGCCGCTGGTGGGGCTATTTAAAGCGACACGTTGATCCTAATTTCAAAATATTGTGTTGCAGAATTGCTTATGCTCCCCCATCTTGTCGTCCGTACTTAATTCAAGGTTTCTTGAAATGCTCCCTTGAGATCCTTTCAAAGCCTAGATTCTAAAACTAATTTCCAGCTTAAAAAAGCCCAAACCCCTCTTTTCCTTTCTTTCTTAATTTTTTTAAAATTTGGAGCTTTTTGTGTTATAATCTGTAAGAAGTATTTTGAAAACTCGATCAAAATTATAAAAATCTTATGATACGAAACTGGACGTATTGTATTTTAATGTTTCAATAAATCGCTTGACAAAATTTTGAAAAGGAATTCATGTTTTTATAAATGTTTTTTATTCAAATATTATTTTACGCGCTGAGAAACATAATTACTTAATTTCCTTAAATAACTGATTATTTTTAATTTAAAATCACATTTGCGATTCAAGATGCGTATTTTTAGCATTAGAGGAAGTTGAATTCCGGTTACACTTTTATTTTACATTTTACACGTTCGTGTATTCAAGTAGAGCAGATACGACAATGATGTGGTTTATCTTACCTGGGCTATTGTCACATTTCTCCCCATAAAATCCACAAACAGGTTCACTTCGAGGTGGATCTCCAGAAATCCAATTGATTTCTCTTTCCATTCTGAGCAGCTGAAAGAAAGAAGGCGAAATATATTCCAAAATTAAAGATTAATACTAGATAATATTCAGTTTCAGCTGTGATTAAATTCATAGGATTTCAATACATTTCCGAGAAACAATTCTGAAGACATCCCAGAAAGATTGTATACCCTAGGAAAAGGCTGATAATGAAGCCTCAATTAACTCTGCTCGGAATTAAAATTAATTCCGCAGAATTCACAAAGGTCTTTACGGATAAATTAGTTCTACATCTTTGCTACTAACGCAGGCCACTCGCAGCCGAGCGGTAAAGTCGCTGAACACTGGTAGTTGGGTCCGAGGTTCGAACCCTGGCGAACAGGCTGACTGTACGGGCGTTTTCGTGGTTTTCCATCTGTGTAACGTGTATAAGAGCCAGTTTCCCTCAGAAAATCCTCCACGAAGGCATCCCTTCCGGAACTTCTTCAAGAAGTGAATGTTGGAGTCCTCATGCTCCACCATAAAAATGCAACTTCTCATTCAGCAAGATTGACAGTTAAGTTTCTTGAATTAAAATACATCAAAGAACATCCACCCTATTCCCCCGATCTAGCTATGTCTGACTTTTGAATATTTTTTAATCTACAAAAGAACTTTCGTGGATGTCGTTTTCATTCCGAAGATGAGATTGATGAGGCTATAAATGCATTTTTTCCATGGATTCGAAGAAATGAATGGCTTGAGGTATTTAATCTTTGAAAAATTCGCCTATATAGAAGTGCATTGATGTTGGAGGAGACCACTTTGAACATTCCTAAAATTTCGTAAGCATAACTTTAAAAAGCCTATGTGTATATAAAACACTTCAGAGTGACTCTCGAAACACATTGGATTTTGGGAGAATAAGCTTGGTCTATATACGAGGGCATTTCGAACAGTAAAGATACAATGGCTAGCATTCCTTAAAAAAAATCTATTTAGAAAACGTCAGTTACATCTTATTAACTGGATTATTTATTATTTTTCGACATAATCACCCCCGTTATCCAAACATTTGTTAAGTCGGTGCACAAGCTTTCGTATCCCCAGTCATAGAAGGTTGCCGCCTGTTGGAACCCAGCGCGCACACAATTTCCTGTACCCTAACTTGACAGTCACAGCTTCATAAGAGTTGTCATTGACACTTCCGGTATGATCTGATGCAATTCTTTCAATTTGAGACGTCTATTCGCACGAATTGCTTATCTGTTCTCTGAAGAAGGGCATCAGAGATCACAGATGGCCGACCTGTTCTTTGTTCGTCATGAACATCGGTCCTACCTTCAGAGAAATGAAGACACCATTTCGTTACATTTTGTCGATTCATAATGTTCCCATAAACAGAAACAATTTCTTTGTGAATATCAGCTGGTCGCTGACCTTTAGAATGAAGAAAACGTATGACGGAGCGCACTTCGCATTTGGCGGGAATCTGAATCGGCGCAGCCATTTTAAACACGACCTACTCCAACCAGAATCAACGTTGAAATGACGAACGACCGCGAGGAGAAAGCTAACGGTTCAAGGTTAACACCTGTGTTGCCAACTTGCTCACCAAAACTTTTCTTTTCATCTGGAGTACGGTGTATCTTTAGTTTTCGAAATGCCCTCGTACATATATATATTAAGAATGATGATTATAGGAAAACCTGCGAGGGATATCTACATAAAAGGAGGGATGTCTTTTTGAAGGACTTCTTAAGGGTACCTAAATCGTATCCATTTTACACGAGGGGTAAACAACATAAGAGTTTTTGGAAAACAAAAAATGTTTGTAGTCTTATGCTTTTTCCTTGCTTGCACAAATTATTACTTATAGCTAAGTTTAAAGCCATAGCTTTTTCATTTGTAGTAATCAGATTTAACATTGTTTGTATCTTATAAACTTGGAAACTGTTCCTTCACTTCTGATTTAGTAATAGCTAGATAACACAACCTTCTTGAAGGAAAAACGTTTTAAACGTCACCGATTTTTTATAATTTTCATTAACATCATGCAACAAATCCTATTATAAGAATGATCAAATACAGTGAACTATTATTATTATCATTTCTACCACCCATTCACAAGGTGAGTTAACCTAACATCAAAATTCTGCATGCGAGTTTCTTTTGCGCCAATGCCAGTGATTAGGTATTTCGGAGTACTTATGCTTCTAAACTATGTATCTCCACATCGTAAAAAATCCAAGTAGTAAGCTGAAATAGGACAATTGAATGAATAGTTATTGAATGAATAGTTAGATTGATGCAAGCTATAGGGAGCCACATTAGTGCAAGAGAGTTTAAGTATAGGAAAAAAAAAAGTCACAAGTTTTGTTTTGGTATTTTTTTTTTTTTTTTTTTTGCTTTTAATTTAATTTTTTTTTTAATTTTATTTTAATTTTTTTATTTTTTGGGGAGGGTATTTACGTTTTTATAACATAAGTAACAACACAAAAGAAAAAGCGGAGAGGAAAGATTTTAACATTAAGTGGCTCATTGGCATATGGCGCTAAAACAGAAAGTAGTAAAGTTAGAGAAAACGGGAGGAAATATCCAAGGCAGACATTAATTCTGCAGGCATGATATGGATTTTAAGCGAACAGATTGACAACAGTACAAAGAAAGCCATTTTTCAGTTGAACTTGAGTGGAAGATAGCAGGTTGGCATAATCAGTGATGAATTTGCAGTTATAGGTGATTGAGGTGATTAACTACCCTTCCAGAGTAGATGTCATGCTTGGGTAGAATGAAGTGATAGTCAACAGACATAACTTAATTACAGTAATGACTTCAGTCACAATGACCTGTGCATGATTGTTACTGAAAAGATCATCCCGTAATACATACCGGAAGATCATTGGATCCTTGGTGGGTGAACCTTGCAACAGGTCTCATTCTCGGTTGTGAAGCATTCTCCCCGTCCACCAAAGCCATGACAGTAAAGTTCCCCTCTGCATCTCCCTGGTCATCGATCATCACGCTAAAACCAAGAATGCCTGAAAAAAAAAATCCGATATTTCAGAACTAAGTATGATGTAACACAACGTGATTACGAGTTTTACGTTTCGATCCAGACTACGACAGGTACAGGTAGAAGTAGTCGGGACAACCAGTTCATCGTTGGTCTTACAGGCATAGTCCCGCCACACTAGGAGTTGCCCACGTAAAGTTGCCATGCAATCATTTTATATTCGCTATAGTTTTTCAGAAACTAGCCACTGGCTTGGCCACCCACCTAAAAAAGTTAGCTTAAAAAAGAAAAAGTATACAGTGATTTTAATGGGTACAGCTAGTGTTTTTCATAGGAGTATTTAATAATTTTGATTAGATATTTCATGCGATGATTGCATTTTTTCTAAATCCATCGTATTAAAAAGTAGACAAAATATTCTTAAGAACTATGTTTATTACTTTCAAATCTCTTAGTCTGTTACTCAGTAACCTTCCAAGTTAAATTTAAAAGTTGAGTATTTTAGGATTTTCTCAACCCGCTGCGGCGTGGAAATTAAATTATTTCATTTCCGGCAATGGCAACACATTGCTTTCAAATGCTCGAGTTTGATGATTAAAACTGAATGATAAATATCTTCCATTTTGCCGAATGGCAACAGATTTGCGTGCACTAGATAGAAATGTTTTATTTCGAACAGTGATCCTTGAATTTGTTAATAAAAAATTCTTGAAATTCGTACTAAATGTGAAAGAATCAAAAATAAATTCGAATCGAAATTCAAAGTTCAACCCATGTTCGGGTGCAGAAACTACGTGCATTCGAAATTCGGTGGCTGTAGGCGCCGCCGTTCTTCCACAATGCGAGGAATGTACTTACACACATACATGCATAAAGATTTTTAGTCCAAAGGGGCAATTTGCTCTGAAGGACTGTTAATTTCGTTTTCGCATTTTCCGTTGAAAACTATAAACGTCGAATCACTTTTCAAATTGTGGCCACTAAATATTATCGCCCTGTATTACATTTAAAGAAATTAAACAATGAAGAATCTTCTTGAATGTATGTATGTTTCTCGTATTGTGATAAAAAAACGGTATTTAGAGCCATCAAAATTTGAATAATGTAATCTTCCATAGAATATGGGCATGTGGAAGCCCTAGTTTGAATTTGAAATTTGTTTTATTATCCATTTCATGCTTTGTAACACTTCAACGAATTTTTGATTAAAAAAACTGAACGATTTTAAAGGGAGCAATGGCAACACTGTGCGGGAAAAAAAAAGTTTTACCTCCAGCGCGCGAGACTCTGTATCGGAAATTTTAAAGATATGCTAATTTAAAAATTATTTTGCGATATTGCTGTTGAACTTAATTTTATGGTTTGAGTACGTAGAGCATGACATTTAATAAATAAAGGTAACACACAAAATGTTAAAAAATCGTCCCTTTAGACGTAATTTAAAATTTGAAACCTTTCAGATTTTTTTATTATTAATTTTTTTTTTAATTCAGCGAATTTTCAGGTAACGATAATAAATTATTACTCTGCGAGCGGCTTTTGCAGCTAGCGGCAATACTTCCGAACATTCTCGACTGAAATGATTGTTAAAACATTAGAGCGATTAGGTATCTATCAGAGCAGGAAATACGAAAAATCAGCAGTGCCCTCGTCTGGATTCGAACTCCGAAACTTCTGAATACTATTTTTACCTGCTATTAATTGCACCACGAAGGCACGCAGTGAGAAAAGAAAAAATTCCTTGCATTCTTCCCCTCTTAAACGATGATTGTGGAGGAGGGGAACCCAGTTATTAAATTTAAGTAGCCATAAATAATCAGATAATAAAGTTATATAATAATAAATAATAAAGTTTAGTCAGGCGATGTTCCAGAAAGAGCTTAGCATTTACGGGAGCAGGAAACACGAGCAATGCCGCGGCGAAATTCGAAAGCCGGACGTTCCAGTTGTTAGACGGACATACTACCAATTACACACCTAAGGTATGCCGTGAGGAGAAGAACATTCCTTACATGATTGCAGCCTAGTTTCAAAGCATGCAGCTAACTGCATAATTTACATATCCCTCTAGTAGTAGCGAGTATTATAGAATTCTAACTGTGTAGAATTAACTCAGAGTCCTTTAGATATTACAAGTCTAACAAATGAGATTTAACTCCGACTGTAAATATTAAGACAAAAAAAAACCTTTTAGTTAATTCTTTAAATTGGACAGAAAGCACCACTTGCGCTGAGAAATGAAAAGACAGGCAGTCACATAAAGGTATATAAAAAGTAGAAAGAAAAGTAGAAAGTAGAAAGTTCAAATTGTAGGTAACCTAGTCGGAGGCTATACAAGTTGGTCTACGTACTGGCTGAATATTTTTAATGGTGAGTTTTTAACGTCGGCTAGCGAAGTGGCTAAAGCCGGAGTAATCCATGCAGAGCTAGGAAATAAGATGCAAACTGCAGGTGACGCTACCAAAAGCCGTAATTCTAAAACATTCAAAATCTCTGAATTGAATACTTTACCAACTAATTTTCATCCTGTGAGGACTACGGAAAAGGAGAAGTTGTAATAAATTTTTAGATTGTAGTAATTGGCTAATTAACACAATTTCGGTATCCCCAGAGTTAAGAAGGCACACGCGAAAGCAACAAAAAGTTAACTGTTATTAAAATTTTAATCATAAATGCCGCAACTTCATCCGTCGCTTTTCTCATTTTTCGCAAAGAATAGGTAGACGTGTCAGATAGCTTAAAACCTCATTATAATCTGACCCAAATCCTACATATTTTAAGATCTTTTTTCGCTGCTGCTAGTGAAAAACCTTATTATGCTCTTTATTATGCTTGATACTGGTGAGATACAAATTGAGATCTTAAAAAATTCTGAAAGCTTTCAGATTTTATATCACGACCTAAAGGGCATTTTTTAACGTTTTGTGTGTTACCTTTATTTATTAAATATCATGATTTTCTCACTTAAAAACCATATAAAATTCAGTTCAACAGCAGTATCACAAAATATTTAAAAAAACAGCATATCTTAAGGATTTCTGATACGCAGTCTCGCGCGCAGGAAGATAAAAATGTTTTTTGTTTTCTTCCAGTATTGCCATTCCTCGCTTTGAAATCGTTGAGCTCGTTAAAGGTTTACAAAATTTCAAAATAGATAATAAAACAAATTCGGGATTCTAAGTGCCCATGTTTGGTTGGAGGACTACGTTATTCAAAATTTGATGGCTCTAGAGACCGTTAATTTTTCACAACGCGAGACACACTCATGCAGATTCTTCATTATTTAGTTTCTTTAAATATGGCGATTTTGTTTTATTGGATCTGTTCTTGTTTCTGGCCTGCTCTGGCGCAGCTTGACGTAAAGTCTGCAAGGAGGGTCGGGTTATGCTCCTTACACTACGCCACATGGCGATAATACGTGGTGGCAACAGTTTGAAAAGTGAATCAACGCAGAAAGTGAAACGTCGTAAAATGCCATTTTGAGACTAATAGCCCTTTGGGTCTAACGCCGCTTTGGACTAAGAACAGCATTCTCTGTTGGCACAAATAATTTCTGTTACATAATACTTACTATTATTAGAAACAAGAAATGTGATGAAGAATAAACCAAATTTTAGGATAAAAAACGTTTCTCACGTACTTACTTTCATAAGGCCTAGATCTGATATACTCAAAGATAGCAGGTCCATCCGTTTCATTTATGTTGTCAGCTAGGGCTTGAGTCAAAGCACTGGCATAAATCATGACTGCATCGTAGGCCAAACCTGCGTAGATTGGAACCTGCATAAAATGAAATAAAATGAATACCGCAAACACGCTTTGAGAGCTATTTAGTCTTTGGACGAGTAAAACAAATTTTACCTCTACTCTAATGAAAGGATGGTAAGGTATATTGAAGGGATCTACCGCCGAATAATTCAGCACCAAGTCCTGAAAGTAGCTGTAGTCCGGATTTATAGGGGAACCGGGACTCAGAAGCAGGACAGAACGGAAAGGAATGGGATCGGCTGCCAACCATGCAGCTTCAAATTCTGAAGGAAAAAAAAAAAAAAAAAAAAAAAAAAAAAAAGAAAGACAGCCAAATAAAACATATATATATATATAGATATATAAAATATAAAATCTGAAACAAAATTATAAAACTTAATTAAAACCAATGGGTCATAAACCTTTAAATTTATAATTTTTAATTAAACACATGCCCTCTCTAAGGATATCTTTCACACAATTTTGCATTACTCTGCAGCATGTTACATCATTCTTTCCCTGCACTGCGAAATCTTAAACCAATCGTTGCTCAGGATTAAAAGATTAAGAAAGACATATCTCTTCGCTAAGCTTCTCTTTCTATGATCTAAAATGTAAACTGCATATATATAAATTGTGGGGCGCATTTAGCACCTCTGATGTTGTACCATTTTAAGTAAAAATGTACACAGCGAAAAAAAAAGAAAGCGGGGGGTCATTTCTACATCTCCCGTTCTACTGGGCCGATTGACGAAATGCAACCTGCATTTTTCATGTCTCAAAAGCGCGACTTAGGATATGTATTAGATTTATATATAGCATTAAGTTAAAATAGGTATTTTGACACAAAAATCGGACTCTTTCTGAAATCACATGTCATTTGTTTTCCATATTTTGATTCTTCGACTCAAATTATGCCTAAATATAAAATTTTGTAAAATTTGGTGCAAAATTTACAGAGAAATTAAAAAATTTATTTTGGCGTATTTTCAGTTTGCGCCACGAATAACTGACTTGATGAACTTCTTAATTTATAGCAACCTATTTTCCTTTCATTTTTTTTTTCGTTGTACACAAGCCAGAAAAAGGTCACGTTCATTTCTTTCAAATAATTTTAACAATGTGCTTAACTACATTTGACGTTATTATCACTTGTAATGAATATCCCAAATTTCAAAATGCGTCATTATGTAAATTCAGGTACATCTTAGGAAATTTTGAATAAACAACTCTAATATTTTGCAGATGTGCCTAGAAATACATTAACTTTAAGATGATGTTAAAATTTTTATAGGTTATAATACAAAAATGTTTTCGAAAAATTTATAAAAAATATTTAAAAATACAAATTTTAAAAATAAATCATAAAAATGGGCGAATTATATTTGGATAAATCCTAAATTTCGAATTCTGGGAGAAGTAATCAAGTAAGTTTAATAAAAAAATGGATATTAATTAATAAGTATGCAATTCAATCGAAATATGGAAAAAATTGGTATGCCATTTCAGAAAAAGTCTGAGTTTGTGTTAAAATACCTATGTTAGAATGATGCTTTATATAGATCTAATATTTATTCTAAGTCGAGCTTTCGGGACACGAAAATCGCAAGTTGAATTTCGTCAATCGGCCCAGTATAACGAGAGATATAGAACTGTCCCCCCTTTTTTTTTGGAGCAGCGTACCTCTGAAGAATTTTTCCTGTTCAAAATAAAAGTGATGTTTTAACGAACAAGCCAAGTGTGACTTAACGCTCCAGTCAGATCTATGCAGCAGGTTTTTGGTCTCTATGACTAAAACCTGACTTGGTTTCATCTTCTCTGGTCAGGAGTCGTCTCAGGTTTCTGGCTATTCTCTCATCAGGAGTTTTCGAAAGAGAGTTCTTGAAAGATTTATTGCACCATTTCCAGAAATCGAACTCGAGTCTTCGGATCACTGGAATAATACTCAGACCCATCTACATAGACAACAGCATAGAGGAATATCTTATCCTTATACTTCTTCCAGCTAAGCACTTTACTGATATCAAAATTGTTCCCCCCCTCTGTAGAAATATAACATTATTAGACAAGTAGTTTAGATTATTCCGACTATAGTAGTGGATAATCTATTCCAATCATGAACTATTAGCTATTATTGAAAATGAATGTGTCTATAACTGGAGACCCTAAGGCAAGGATAATCAGCGTAATGTTCCTAAACTTTAAGGACTAGTTTCGAAGGGTTATATATAGAACAGGGGTTCTCAAGCAGGGAGGAATTCCCGTAGTTTTGGGGGAAGGATGAGGTCAGGCTTTTATTTATCTGTTAAGTATTTAGTTCTAGTTTGTTAATATAAAAAATCAGCTTTTGCTCAAGTTTCGGTACTTATCAACTTTTTTTTATACGTTTTAATTCATAATACACACTAAAAATACTCCAAATTTAAATAAATGCACGACATAATGCATAAAATTTAAATAAATGTATTTTTCGACTTTTCGAAAGGTAGAGGGGAAATGATCTCCTAGCAGTGGCGGAACAGATGCACAGGGCATAAAATCTTAAGCAGCACGATATAGAACCTCATTCTTCAGCAGCAGAACTGCAAAAGTTGAAAGAAAAGCCTGTGCTCAGGCGATAATAGTGAAAGGAAGTAAGTTAAGCTAAAAGTGTCATGACTAAACTTCAAGGATATTGATGAAAAATGAAAACAGCTAAGATTTAATTTCCTTAAAAGTTGAGCGTAAAGACGAATCGGGATTGGGATCGTTAACAAGAACTTAGTTTTATTGAAAATGAAACCCCTCCAATTTATTTTTTCTAATATATATTGGTTTAGAAAAATGGAAAATGTGATTTTTTGACCAACAGTTTTGAGCAACAGTGGATTTATGTGTTTCGTGTTTTCCTAACATATGCCTCACGTCCTCAGCGCGGAATTTTAAACCTCTCTTCGTTAGACCAATATATCGTAAATTAAACCACATTTTAAGGAAAATATTTCATACTTGTTTTTAGTTTTCATCAATAAATGGCGCCAGCAGCTGGACATTCTTCTCATTGCTATCGCCAAGAGTACAAGCTTCTCTTCTGTTGTATGCACTTTTGCAGCTGAAGAAGCTGGTTCTATATTTAAATCTTCGAAACTCGTTCCGTAAATTTATAAATATATGACGCTGATACTTGCTGCTTTGACGCTTTTAATAGCAGTTATTCGGCTTATTATTTCAACTTAGATATAGATTATTATTGAATTATCGACTACGTACTACTATAATTGATGAAACGTTTGTCGATATATAAAAAAGAATAACATCTGTAAACATTAGACAAAAGACTATTCTAGAGTCAAACATCAGTGTGAAAATTATATAGTACGAAGCAATAAAAGTGCAACTAGTCATGTGAGAAAATAATTTGCATAAATAAGTATTTTCTCGTATAACCTATTGAAACTCAATAAATACCATCGGGTTGTTTGAACTTTAGGTCTGATGTCATCTTGATGGAGAGTAGAGTAGGGGAGAGTTAAAGGCTTAGCGGGGAAGAGATGGTTCCCCAGCCGACCAGCCCAGTTCGAATTTTACAATAGAAATAGAAGGAATTCTGGAGTTCGATTTCTTGGCATAATTCATTTTGCCGGAATCGAACTCACGTCTTCAGTGCATTTGATTTACATGTTGAGATTCTACGTCAAAAGAACACTTGAAAGCAATTCTTTTAAATGCTTATAGGTAAACTGAGATTCAAACAGAAATTCATAAAAATCTTGTTTATTGAACACAAAATGTAAAATATACTCTTTTTTAGCAAATGAAGACCATTGATGAGGTCTATGTATTCATATTTACAGTCTGAAATTTGAAAAAATAAATGAAAAGACTATAACGGTCTTACTTTATATTACAGTAAACGCTTAGTTGGACATCTGCCTAAAATAGTTATAAAAAGAATATATGAGTTCAGTTCGTGTCATTTTAAAGGTCCAGCTAGGAATTAATAATAATAAACCCTGAGAATTCCGTTTATTGCATTAAAATCCCTTATTTTGTAAATGAATTACAGATAGATTAAATTTGAAAAAAAAATTGAATATCTTAAACTTTGACAAATGGCAACACCAGGGATGTGGAACATAAAAGTGTTCCGCTAGTGGCTAAATGTTTAGACAACTGAATACTGGTTATTCGAACTGGTCTGGGTTTGATCGCAGATGAATGGGGTGGCTGCATGGTTGATTTTCTCCATGTGTAATGTAAATACGAAGCAGTGTCTCTCAGAAAGTCCTTTACGAAAGCATCCCTCTTCTTAGACAGACAGTCCTTGTGTCTTTCCTATTACCGAAACCGAAACGGAAGCTAAAAGCATTTTTGGCAACAAATTTCTTTTAAATCCTTTGAATCTGTCGATTAAATTTCAGAGACAGATGTCTTACGCTTTGTCGAGTGGCAATGTATTTTTTTAAATCTCCGAGATTTCTGATTAAATTTGAAACATAAATATTTTATGCTTTGCCAAGAGGCAACGTCTTACTTTTAAATTACAGAGTTCGTCAATCAAAATTTGATGAAGTTCTCAAAAATGAATAAAGTAAATAAGTAGATAAAATCTGAGAAGATTCAGATTATAACTTCGTAACAGAGGGTTTGTTAAGGCTTCTTATGCTCTAGATTACCTTGCAGTTTACCAATCAGCTCTTGAATTCACTCCTGCTGGTGCAACTTTTTATTTCGTTTTCGCATTTTTAACTTTATTATTAAACATCACTTTCTTCGAATTATTTCGCATAAACGTCAACAGAAAATACTTAAAACAGCATATCTTTAGAATTCTAGATATAGTGTTAAGTGTTGCCATACATACCGTTTTATGTTCATTTTCCTATTTCTTTAAAAATTATAAAATTTGGTGGTAGCATTTTATTTCAACATGATCCTAACAAAAAAATTGAATCAGTGGAATAGTGAGTTCAGACTAATAGTGCCTTCAGGGCCAGTAAAAAATTCGAAATTCAAATTCAGGTCGCAAGGTGTTTGGGTGGAAAACTGTGTGTTTATAGTTTGGCAGCTCTAGGTGCTCCTACTCCTGTTTTTATGCTTAGAATGCTCCTGTTACAATGCAAGGAACATGCATACAGACAGGTTATTCATTATTTAATGATATTAGAATATTAGAATGCATTTACCACGCAGTTTCTTGTATTGTACAAAGCATAAAGTCTTTATAATTTATTTTCGGAGAGGCTTTACAGACAACTTATTCAACTCAGTAAAGTATATGATCTTTAATTTTATTTTTCAGATT